AAGATTTGGGCTGGGGTTCTAGTTTAGCAGTAGAGCACCTGCTTTGCATGAGGCCCTGGGTTTGATCCATGGAATCACAAAAAAAGTAAACTGGATTTATGAAATTAATTAAATGTAATGTGCGGAGCTTGTTGCCTCAAACTTAAGAGTCCAATATACAACAAGCTGTGAGTAATACCTAAGGACTGGGGAGATGTAAGCATAGGCAACATGGGTCATGTTATTTTTTTCAGGTGCAAGTATTTTGGGTAGGGTTTTTTATTGTCCCATAGATGGGACAATAAGGTGCCAGCATGTAGTCAGTCCTTGGAGCAATCTCTCCCATCTGGTTTGTAGGGTACTTTTATTTTGTTATGGAGCTATGCCCAGTAACGCTCGGGAAGCACTCCTGGCTCTGCACTCAGGAATAACTCCTGGTGGTGCTTGGGGGACCCTGTGGAATGCCGGGAATCAAGGCAAGCGCCCTACTTGCTGTCCTATCTCATACCCCTGATCTGGAGACTTTTAATGAAAAAAACTATTGGGGCCAGAGTGATAGTACATTTGGTAGGGAGCTTACCCTGTGTGCAGCTGACCAGGGTTCAATCCCCGGTATCACCTACAGTCCCTAACCTCTGCCAGGAGTGATCCCTGAGCACTGAGCCAGGAGAAAGCCATGAGTATTGCTGGGTGTAGCCCAAAATTTAAAAACAAGCCTTACAGAGAGTCATATTTCTCACCCTGGAACACTGACACTTGGACAGGGAAAGTGCTGCAGGGCATCAGAGGAGACCTAGCAGCATCCCTGTCCTCTACCCACTAGATGCCAGTAGCACCCCCTGGTTGGAACAAGAAGAAACATCTCCAAACACTGCCCGTCTCCTGGGGGCAAAACTGCTCCATGTTGAGAAACACAGTTAGAGAAGAATACTGACGCAGTTATGGTTGGAATCACACTATATCTGCGGTTTGCCCAAATAACCCAAGGGGGTGTGGGAGAGAGCGGTAACAGGGTGGCCAAATACAGTAATTGAGTCTGCGGGTGGACACAAGGGAGTTCATTAGATTGTTCCCTCTGTTTATGCTGGGAGTTTTCCATAATACAAAGGTTAGAATATTGAAATATTTCTATTTTCCCAAAGCAGCTTTAGGATCTTTGGTTAAACAAGTTGTCTCTAAGTCAAAGGTTTCAAGTACAATTTGAAGTCATTTAAGAGTCTGAGTAATGCCTTGTCCAACTGTCCCAAATCCTGAGAAGCAGAAAAATCTAAGGAGCATACATTTTTTTTTTAAATTTTTGGGTAAGATCCAGCAATGCACAGGGGCCACTCCTGGCTCTTGCACTCAGGAATTACTCCTGGCGGTGCTCAAGGGACCATATGGGATGCTGGGAATCGAACCTGGGTGAGCCGTGTGCAATGCAAACGCCCTACCCGCTGTGCTATTGCTCCAGCTCCATAAATTTTGTTTTTAATTTTGGGGCTACAGCCTTACTCCTGGATCTGCACTCAGGAATCACTCCTGGTGAGTGAGACTATATAAGATACTGGAGATCAAACCCAGGCTGGCTACATATAAGGCAAGCGCCCTATCTGTTGTACTATTTTCTGGCCCCAAGGAGCAATAAATTATTTTGTTCTAAACCATCCCTTCCTAACCTCTCCAATTCTTGTCATGTTATTGTCTTTTATTATTATATATATTTTTGCTTTTTGGGGGTTATACCCAGTGATGGTCCGGGGTTACTCCTGGCTCTGCACTCCAGGGACCATATGGGGTGCTGGGGATCAAACCCAAGTCGGCCACATGCAAGGCAAACACTCTCCCCGCTTTATTGTTGCTTCAGCACCTGTCTTTTATTATTGATCACTGAGATATTTTCATTGTAACTAAGAAGTTCTAAGAATGGGTGCTGTTGCTATAGTAAAACAGGTATTTCCACATGCTTATTATGACACTAAGTTTTCGGAGCTTATATAAGGTGGAAAATCAGGGCCGAGACTGCCTCAGCAACAGAGTGCCTTACAGCCATGAGGCAGAGGGCAAACCCAGTGCCAGCTGATGGCAATGCCTTTCATCTCTGGCACACTGTGACCCAGTGTGTGCGAGCACCCAAAGCAAAGAGTGCATTCTCCCACACACACAAAGAAAAATGAGAGCCAGTAAGGACAGGGCTTAAGGTGCAGCCTTGTACGCAACTGACCCTGGTTTGGTCCTTGGCACTGCCAGTGTGGCCTGGGTAATCCCTAGCACTGAAGGCCTCAGGCAGTTCTATATCCTTCCTGCCAGCCAAGAGGGTTCCCTGGGTCTCAGGAGGGCCACTGGAGAGGCCCCCTCAAAAAAAGTAAACTAGTAAGGCAATAATGAAAGCTCAGAGTTGCTGATAGACAAACGCTTAATTAGAACACTTCTGAGAGATTAAACTGGTTGAGAGGGACCAAAGCAACAGTACCAAGGGCAGGATGCTTGCCCTGCACATGGCCAACCCAGGTATAATCCCCCACGCCCCACAGGGCACCCTCTAGGAGAGACCCCTGAGTGCAGACTAGGAGGAAGCCCTGAGCTCAGCTGAGCATGGCCCCAAAACAAACAAAACCCCCCATAAACAGAAAAAAGAAAACAAACAAAAAAAAGATTTGCAAAAAGTAAAAAAAAAAAATTAAAATTTCCCTGTAGGTCTATTTCTATTATTTACCACAATTTTTTCGATTCAATAAAGTTCTTATAATCGAAACTATAATCAAATATTAAAAGTAAAGTGCATCTCACACCTTTGGAATTACTGAAGAAAAGTAATCTATCAAGAATTATTGGTCAAGGAGCCAGAGAAAGAGTGTTTGCCTTGCGAGAGGTCAATCTGGGTTTGATCCCCAGTACTCCAAGTGGTCCTCCCTGAGCCCGCCAGGAGTGATTCCTGAGTGCAAAGTCAGGTGGAAGCCCTGAGCACTGCCTGACGTGTGGCCTAAAAACCAATTCAAAGATAAACCACAAAGAATTATTGGTAAAGACAAAAATACTTAATCAAGTCTGTACTAACAATAATTGATACTAAATATTTTTATGGTTTGAGATAACTACCTATGACCACAGAAATTTAAGTTATTTTTGTTACTAATAATTATCACAGAATGACGAAAGGTAAGACATGCTTTAAAATATTACATTGGGATGAATGTCTAAAGTATAATAGGAACAAAAACTTTTGCTCAAGCCTCTCTGAGAAGGGCTATATACAGGCTTGCCTGAGGTCACTTTCAAAGGACGCTCTGTGGTCCCTCAACATGGTCAATTTCTGCAATTTCAGTGGTCAACTGCAGTCTGAAAAGATTAACTACAAAAAGATATTTTGAGGGGCTGGAGCAATAGCACAGCAGGTAGGGCATTTGCCTTGCATGCGGCTGACCCGGGTTCAATTCCCAGCATCCCATATGGTCCCCTGAGCACCGCCAGGGGCAATTCCTGAGTGCAGAGCTAGGAGTAACCCCTGTGCATTGCTGGGTGTGACCCAAAAAGCAAAAAAAAAAAAAAAAGGTATTTCTCCTGTCCATGATTTCAAACATCTATCTACTAGGTACCCTGGAACATATCTTCCTCCCACAGATAACAGAGATTTATTACATTTTGGGGGTGCGAGGGATCAAACCCAGGTTCTACACATGCAAGTCTTATGCACTGAACCACATTCTTGATCAGAGATTTCAACTTTTGATCTGTAATTTTCATCTTAAAATTTCAAATGTGGGGGTGGGAAGCAGATGGCATAGGGGTTAAAAGATGCTTGCCTTGCATGTGGCTGATGCATACTGGATCCCTAATGCATGAGAACCTGAGAACTAGTGATCACTGAGTCTGGAGTAAGCCCTGAGCACAGGCAAGTATGGATCCCGAAACAAGAAAAGCTCACAGTACACTGGCAATTATACACTTCAAAATTTACATATTAAAAAAGAAAAACCTTAGATGTGAACTTCAAGATGCGCAAAAGGACAGAGTTTGTAGAGTCCTTTTCTGGGGGGCTACACAGGCAGCTCAGCCTTTGCTGGCTGCAGGGGCCACTCCAGGCTCATCTCAACCTTCCTCCTCCTCCTTACCTTTTGCACTGGTTTCTTTGATAAGTACCTTTCTAAATTTCTCTGTAGGACAGTGGAGAGCAAAGTTGCTAAAACCATCTGCAGGTTTCAGAGACATGAGAAAAGGGAGGGTGAGAAGGCACCCTTCACCAGGCGTCCCCGTCCCCATCCTCCGGGGCTCACACACTATCACCTCCTGTTCTCTCCACTTGTGTCTACCTCAAAACAATTCCATTTCCGTCCACCCTTCCTGCCACCCAGTTTCCAACAGTCTGGCCAAAGAACACTGAGGAGGCTCATGACCTAGTTATATCTTTAAGTTAGGCTGCCCCCTGGGGTCTTAGTTATAAACAAGCAACTTCTCCCAGCTTTGCCTCTACATTCTTCAAGTCTTTTCTGGTGCCTTAGGTGTAAGCCCTGGAGGGACATGTTAGGACTCCCCCATACAAAGCTGCCTCTGTTCATAAAACAACCTCACTCACCTGCCAAGGAACCCTTCACCACTAGCATGTCAGCATGAAGCAACGAGAGGCTGGCCTCTACCCACCTCTGCTAGGAGGAGGACCAAGATCAAAGAATATTACTTTTTTTTTTTTGCTTATTGGGTCACACGTGGTGATGCACAGGGGTTATTCCTGGCTCTGCACTCAGGAGTTACTCCTGGCAGTGCTGGCACCATACGGGATGCCAGGGATCGAACCTGGGTCAGCTGCATGCAAGGCAAATGCCTTACCCACAGTAGTATTGTTCTGGCCCCCAAAATCTTTAACCTTTAATAAGCACCAAGATTAAAGAAAGTGAAACTCACATGTTAAAAACTGCTAAGAGAATTCAACGATTTGACAGCAAGGGGCTGTTTTCAGTCACAATTGTCAACACTGGCTCTCCCTCTAGTCAACACAGTTTTGAAGGCCTGGCTAACAATGAAACCGAGAAAAATAAACACAAACATGAACAAATGACCTTTTATTTCATACAGAGATACAAAGGCAATTGTGTGCAGCAAAAATCTGACGGGCAGTCCAAATTCTTGGGAGGAAGTAAACTCACGGTAAATGTCAAAGGGCTGGTGGAGAAGGTCAAAGGAGAGAGATGAGACAGAGATAAAAGCGATAAATAAAAGTAGGAAGAGCTACATGGCTTCAGTCTCACAAATAGAGATCACTGGGGCATTCTTGATGCTACAGAACTGTAATTTGATTTATTAACCACCTCATTTTTTCAAGGGCATTCTCTGTCCTTTTGCATTTAAAATTCTATCAAGGGAATGATAATTCTTAGAAATGACTGAAACACTGTCTTTATTAGGAGTTCGAACCCTCTCTCTCTCTGATGAGCATTTGGGCTCAATATCTTTTAGGAAAAAGGGATGTGCCCTGGCACTCTGGCTAGCCCTAGTTTGAGGGGCAATGGTATTGAATAAATAACAGCACCTACTTTTATTTTTATTGCATTTTATGAAGTAAAATAGTTTTTAGAGAAATAAAACTATTTTAGAGATACTGAGAGAAAAAAGTATTTTAGAGAATGAGTTGACAGTACATGTCTCAGATTGAAACATTTTGAGAATCTCAATGAGAGCACATAAGAAATTGAGACCCAGAGCTAAAAGTACACGTCTCAGGTCCATGATGTGGGTAAATCTCCGAGAGAGAGAGAACACCTGAGCATCTGCCTTTAATCGGAGGAAATAGTTCCTTTATAATGGTCTTCCAAAACACAGCAAAAGACATCAGGCACGTGGAGGTGGTTTGCATCTGCCAGGAGGGCATCTGGGAAAGACTCAGACCACCCCCCACACACACCCATGGCCCTGACCGCTCAACAGTCTGTTCCAATGCTTTCACTGTCAGAGAGCATGGTCTATAATCTGTTACTTATAAAACAATTCATTGGCTTTAAATATACACTGATCAATTTTTAGAAGTTAATTTTCTTAAGTTTTATGTTTCATGATGAAAAAGAACACTGAACCCAAACAGCAGGGAAAACAGAGGCTCAGTAGCATGATTTCAGTATATTTTCTTAGAGAAGCTTTAAAAAAAAAAAAGTATGACTTTGGTTTTGTTTCATTCTATTTAAGGCGGATTATTTCCCTGAAGCCCCATAGATAATTCCTAGTGTTTCAGCTACAAGAAAGTATTAAGAGTTCAGATATACAGATAAGCATTTTTTTTTTTAAAAATCTCTTTTCTTACAGTATTCTAAAGTCCTTCAAAGCATTACATAAATCTTCAAAAATTCCTATCACCCACATTTTAAGAAACAATTCTACACTTCAGCAAGGCACTTAAGACACAAAACAGCTTAGGAAACAATGACACAGGACACTAGGGCTAAGTCATTCTGCCAGGACACAAAGTAGATGTTTTCCTACATGGAAACATCTGGGCACTATCTGGGCACTAACACGAGAAGAGATACCTCAAAGCAAGGGCTGAATTCAATCAATGGAACCACAGCTCCTTGCTCCCAAGGAAAACAAAATGAGAACAATGCCTCATCTCTTTTGATTTTACTGATGGGAAAGAAATACAAAGGAATTCACTTTTCAGCAACAACTTAACTACAGATAACCTGACACTGTGTGTCTTATATCTAGTATGTCACTGGTACTAAAAAGCTTCCACTACTAATAAAGAGAAGTCAAATCCCATCATCACTATTGCCGATTAAAACAAACACCAAAGCATACACTAGGGCAATGCAACCTCTACTACCAAAAACAACACAGATTTCCTCAGTGTTTCCATCTTTCCTAGGACAGAAGGAAATGAGGGAACAAGATGGGCCAGAAAGCCTGAACTACAATGAAGAAAGGGAATGAAGGTCCTGCCAGAGCAGTCAGAGTTGAAAACTTGGTGCCAGGAGTGATCACAGGAGGCAAGGCTGTGGGCTGGGCCTTGCTTCACAGAGCTGGAAAGGGCCCTGAAGGGCAGCCTGAGGCTTCTTGCCTTCATCCTTCTGGCTGGCAGCAGATGATCAATTACTTCCCGTAGAACTTTTTGTTGAGAAGGAAGATCAGAAGGTTGACATTTACTTTAGCTCTATCAAATAATTTCATGACTGCAACCCCTTCATATTGCAGCTGTAGCAGGTCCTGTTAAAAAAATAATAAAAATAAAAACACATTCTGACAGTTAATCAAGCCCATGGGACAGAAAATAAAGGACAAGTGGGGCAGGAGCCAGCCAGAATGAGGCCAGTCTGGAGGGCCAAGGGAAGAGTCCCAGCTACCCATCCACTGTGCTGCTTCTCTGGTCCACCTAGTTTCTGCTTCATTGGGGTGAAGAAGCCAGGTGGGTTATCTCGAAATACATAGGGTAGGGAAGGGAAAAGCAGTTTCTTGGGTCCTCACACACAATGCTGGCTCATCCATTAACACTTGTCAGAATTCCCACATCACAGGGGAAAGAGTAGAAAATGTTTGGGGAATCTCTACAGGTCTGACACTGTAAATGCCTTAAGAGTCTTCTTTTCTAAAAAAAAATTAATATTTTTTTTGGCTTTTGGGCAACACCTGGCAGTGCTCAAGAAATGCTTACTCAGAAATGCTGGTTCTGCACTCAGGAATTACTCCTGGCGGTGCTCAGAGACCCATACTGGAGATAGAGCCTAGGCTGGCTCTGTGCAAGGCGAACACCTTCCCACTGTACTGTCTCTCTGGCCCTGACAGTGCTACTATGTCAGGTTTAAAGACAAGGCTAGGTAGGTGCTTCAGGTGGGAGGTGCTGGGTCTAACCCCTGGCATCAGAAAGGTTCCAGGACTGGTTGGGCAAGGCTGTATACAGTGAGATATGGCTGCCAAGCCCCAGCCTCTCCCAACCCCTCACTGTCCACAACAAATATAGAGTATTGGAATGGTCTCACCCCTAAACTTCAGACGAATGATGATGACAAAACCAAAGTCAGAGTTGAGAAGTACACTTTGTTGTTCAACGAATTCATCTTGGGCCAGAAAGACAGTACAGCAGGGAAGGAGTCTGCCTTGGAGGCAACTGACCCAGGTCCAATCTCCAGCACCCCTTGGGATCCCCTGAGTGCAGAGCCAGGAGGAAGCCCTGAGCACTGCTGGGTGTGGTCACAAAACAAACCAAAAAGTACCCCAACTCAGCTTTGGAAAAAACTGAGCACTCCATGAGGACGAGGACCCTGTTGGCCTCCTAGGTCTAAAAGAAGCCCTCTACTCGAACATGGCCAAATCCACAGCCCAAGGCAGACTGGCTGGCTGGTGAGGATTGGGCAAGGGGGAATAGCAGAGCCTTTCCTGGTGTGACACATGAATTGCTGATGTGAATCCATAAGCATTTCACTTGTGCTCAGCTGACAGCCCAGAGGAGGAAACAGAAATGCTGCCTGTCCAGAGGGGTAAGTCTGGGCACGGGGACCAATGCCAACACCTATGAACAAAGGCTGCCACAGGCTGTGGAAGACCATAAGAAACCCCACATCAGGGGGTATGGTGCTACCCAGCAGGTCAACCTATACCTGCAGGGTGAGTGCATCAGCAGCCTGATGGTGCCTTCAGGCTTCCTGATACCCCAAAATTGCTGCTGTGCCTTTGGCCAGACCCCAACAACTTGGGACCAAGTTTACCAAGAAATTGAAAGGCCAAAAGTTAGGTATGTGGGAGTCATGACCACAAACCACCTCAGGTTCATCTATACAAGCTCAATAATCTATTTAGCTCTTGCCTAAGGGGCAGGATGCGGTGATAGAGGGAAGACTCAATGGTGGTAGGAAGGTGCAATGGTAGTGGGACTGGTGTTGGAACAATGAATGCCTGAAAAAGCTGCATTATAAACAACTTTGTAAATCAGGCTGTTTAAATATAGTTAAAAAGAAAAGAAACCCCACATCATAGTTGGGGGAGGTCACACACAACCAACCAATAAGTGATGGAAGACTAAGGGAGTGCCTGGTTAAGGGGGAGCAGCAGGGACAGGGTAAGCCCTACCCTCTGTACTATACTGTTCCATCCCCCAGACTCGTATTTTAAATTTAAACCTTGCTCCCCTGTTAAATTCAAAAAGCACTGAGCAGTGAACCACTTTTTTACCGTAATGACCTCTGGTTTTCATTCTCATCTTTATGCTTTTAAAACATGAGGGCGGGCCTGGGAGAAGGTGCAGGCCGCTGTGGCTTGGTGGACCCTGGGACTCAAACGGGGCGAGTGCAGAAGCTGCACCCCTGAAGGCCAATGATGCTGGGTTGAGGTGAGATGCGCACTGCCGTGCGATCTCAGGCGGGGACAGGCCACGCCAGGCCCGCTGCTGAGGTGCTTTTTCCACCAGGACTCCTTTCCATCTAGTCTCTTGCCTCAACCAGAAGAACACAACTTCCACATCTCCAGAGCTTCTGGTTCCTTCTACCTGGTATATACCCACCTGATAATGTAACATGAAAGTCTCCATCTGAACGCCCATGAACTTGGCTTTCACTTCAAAGTCTCCAACCTCTTCAGTTGGATTGATTTCAAAGATAACATTTTTAAACCTGTTGAAACATAACAGTGAAACGTTGTGATTTTTATGCTCCCACATAAAAATGTGGAAAGGAGACAAACAGTCTGAGTGAAAAAGGGCCTGAAACAAAGGCCCCTCCTGCAGCACCTGCAACCTCATGAGAGATGCTTGGATGACCTCAGAAGGCATGACAGAGACGTTTCTAGGCCTCCTATGTGGCTACCACTAAAAAATGAGGAAAGGAGAATCAGGAGAAACATGGCTAGAAGGAGAGGGAGGAAAAGGTCGTGTTCAAATATGCATGCTTAGAAGATATAAGAAAAAGTCCTGCAGGAAGAACTGAGAACAAGACTCTGGAAGGGCAGGGTTAGGAAGGAATGCCACTGCCCCTTTTACAGGCACCCACCACTCTTGAATCCACTCTGCCCAAAATGCTCATGGCACTGTAAGAATGTAGGAGTGTATCGTCCCTGAGGTGACCAGAGTGAATAACACCGCCAACTTCTAAAACTCAGTTGTGGAGGTGCTGGAGGGCACAGAGGGGCTAGGAGGGAGGGTACAAAATTCATGCCCTGAAACACACGTTTAGCCCACCAGAAGAGACGAGGTGTGCTTTCAAGAAACTTATTAGGGGCGCATATGCTGCCCGAGCCCATGTGCTGCTTATGCCCACGCGGCCGAGAACATGTGTCGCCGGCATCTCCCCTCGAGATGTGTACTTTCATGCTTTCATGTCTAATGCTGGTATGTGTGTAGAGGCTCTCTCTGCCCGTGTTCTCTCTTGAGTACGTTACTCTCTCTCACTCTCTCCCCCTCCACACCTAAAAACCCTCCAAATAAAATCTATTTATTTCAGGGAAAAAAAAAGAAACTTATTAGGACTGGAGAGACAGTATGGAGATGAAGGCACTTGCCTTACATCAGGCTGCAGCTGTTAACAATGGTTCAAATCCTAGTACTGCATATGGTCCCCCAAGCACCATAAAAAGTAAATTCCTCTTTTTGTCTATCTTACTTATTCTTGGTTTAGACTTCCTGCTTTAAAATGACTTCCCGCTCTAAAGAGGAAAATACAGAGCCAGTGAGATAGCTAAACAGGCCTGAGGACACTCTGCACTTTACATATTTTGCATAGAGGATAGGATTCCACTCCGAGTACCGAATGGTCCCCCAAGCTCTGCAGAGGGTGACCCAAAACCAACACCAAAATAAAATCAAGGGGAAAAAGGTTGGGCCCATACAAATTATATGAATGCATCCTTAAACAACTGCTCCACGACAGAGAGACTTTCTCTTCTATGTCAGATATGTCTGAGTATTAGATCCAATCTGCACAGAGAGACATAGAGACATATACACAGAATAGAAAAATGACCATCCAATTTAGAAGAGAAATAAGAGCAATAAGGGCTGCACAGTAAAGGCAGAAATTTAAAAGAAAAATCAACATATAAGATGGTGTCAAGAGTTAAGACAAGACTGGATGCTCACTGGTTAGCTTGCAGGTCCTCGATTTCCAGAAGAACCCCCTTCTCATGCAGTCTTGCTGCTGTGTATTTCAGAGAGATCTTCTTGCTTTTCTTCCCTTTCATTTCCCTCGGCTTTTTAGAGACCCTGTAAAAGTCATATTGTTACTTTCAGTAACTGCCAATTCCAAGTCATTATTGGTAATTCAAAGATAGGAAGTCAGAAAACAAACTTCCATGCACAAGTGTAGTGAGTGAGCTATTGACTCTAAAATGGCAAAGCAAAGTTAGAATCAGCCTTAGCTCTACCTCTAAGGCTGAAATAGGGGAGACGGCACTAAATTGCTCCTCTTTAAATTATCTCTGAGCATGCACCAAGAATCCACAGCGTCCTATTCCTCCCCTGTTCTTCTCAGGACCCCAGTGTGAGAGTATCTGACACACCCGCACTTGATGCCCCTTGGTTGTTCAGGGAAACACACAAATAAGAACTTTTTAATGGCATGTAAGTGAGACAGCAATGACAGAGAAGTGGGAGCAAATAAAGAAAAAAGGAACTTCAGAGGCTACTGAGATCTTCAGAGCAGGCAGCAGTAAGAAAAAGGAGACACAGGAAGAGCAACTGAGAACCAGGGACTGGACTCCACACGTGGGACTCCCAACCAGGAGCGGCCCTCTGACAGGAGCATGAAGAATCCTCACGAGCACCCTGTGGAATCACAGCCACAAGGACTTCTGACCAATAATCACACTTCTAGGTTATTTCTCTTTAAGATATATATATATATATATATACACACATATATACATATATATATATATATATATCTTCACATTTACAAAATGAGACATCAAAAGGTAACTTGTCGAATTTTTCGCCCCACCCCCGGCAGTGTGGAGGAATCCCGGAACCATGCCCTGTGATTCTTGGCCACCAATGAATCCATGCGAGGATCACAGAAGGAGATGATGCTCAGGTGCTATGGAGCTGGGGACCAGGGGCTCTAGGGCTACATCCAGCACTGTCCAGTAGGCCATGTGGTGCTGGGGAGGGGTCAAACCCTGGTTGGGAGCATGCTAGGGTAACATCTTCCAACCCTGAAGATTATTTTATAACAAGTGACTATAAAAAAAAAATCTATCAGTGAAGAACTGATTAAGTAGCTGTATAAGCCAGGGACAGCTCAAAGAACTAAAGGGAATGCTTTGCAGGCAGGAATCCTGGCCTCCCCACCCTGAGTGACACCTCCCCTACCACAGAAAAGGAGTTCGAGACCAGAGACATACTCGAAGGGCAGGGCACTTGCTTTGTGTGCTGGAGGCCCAGCTCAGTCCTTGGCCCTGTATGGTCCTGTCTCCTGAGCACAGAGCCAGGAGTGGACCAAACGCTGCTGGGATGGGTCCCGGTCCCACTCCCTTCCCCACAAAAGCTCTACATATCCTCACAGTGGAACAGCATGAGCTCATCAAAAAAAGAAATGAGAACCTGTTGTCCCTACAGAAGACTGGAAATACTAGTAATGCCTTGGCAATAAGCACACAGAGCACCTAGCTCTCGAAGTTCATGGGTCACTCCTGTCTGCACTGTGGGCACATCTGTGGTGATGGGGAATGAATGGGGTTCTCTCCACCTATACTCTCTCTCGAATCCCAGATTTCTGTCTCATACCACTCATGAAGAGAAACCAGTGACCCTTGGGGAAAGAGCTCTTTCCAAGCGTAAGATATACCACAAATGGGACTGGAGCAACAGTACAGTGGGTAGGGCATTTGCCTTGCACGCAGCCAACCTGAGCTCAATCCCTGGCATTCCATATGGTCATCCAACACTTCCAGGAATAATTCCTCAGTGCAGAGCCAGAAGTAACCCCTGAGCATCACTGAGTGACCCAAAGAAAAAAAAAAGATATACCAGAAACATCTTGCATCTGAGGGTGAGGATGTGTTCCAAGAAGAAAGAGGACAGGAAGACAGGAGGCAGCTGTGGAGCTGGGCTGGGCTGGGTTGGGTGGACCTAAAACATTCCCTTAACGTCTACTCCCCCTCCAGGAAGTGGGGGTAGCGGGTGGGGTGAATGCAGCAAGGTAAAAGTAGTGCATCTAGGTGAAGGGTGCATGTGAGGTTCCTTCTTCGCTTCTGACATCTGAATATTCTTCAAATGAAAAGGCAGGAGTGTCGAGGGTATGGTGCCCCCAATAGGTCAATCTGTACCTGCGGGCGAGTGCATCAGCAACTTGATGGTACTTTCAGGCTTCCCGGTACCCCAAAAATGCTGCTGTACCTTTGGCCAGACCCCAACAATTTGGGACCAAGTTTACCAAGAAAGTAAACAGCCAAAGGTTAGGTATGTGTGAGCCATGCCCACAAACCACCTCTGGCTCAGCTATACAAGCTCATTTATTGGCCTTATTTCAGAGACCGATAGATAAATCTCAAAAGAGATCAAAAGCCACAGTTAATCGTGAACCCGCGCATGGCTGAACAGACTGGGATGAACTTGGCGGGGGGGCAAGTTGGCCTGTGCCTGCCCAAGCAGAGCTCCCAGCAGCCATTTGCTTCCACAATCCAAAACTGCTACCACACCCCCAGCCTGACTCCACCGTCCTAGGACACACCTCACCAAGATGTAATTTGCTGAAAATTTGGGTATGTGGGTTTTGTGACTGAAATCTCCAGGCTTTCACGAAGTTGAGATGGGCTACCTCTCCCCACTTCCCAGTACACATGGAAGCAATGGCAGTTACCCCCACGAACCAACTCCGGCACCACCCTATAAACTCTATTACTAGTCTTGCTTCAGAGACCCATAAATAAATTTCAAAAGAAATCAAAAGTCAGAGACACAGCAGTGAGTCCCAGAAGACACCACAGAGCCAGAGATCTCTCCAGGTCCCATACCGAGCCAATTTCACCAGGGCACCCCATATGGAGCAGGTGTAGTCTCCCCGCCTACTCCAGATGGAATCCTGGTCACCAAGAGCTTCCACAATCAAGGCCCAGGTATGTGGGGTCCGGGACTAAATCTCCATGCCGCATGGCAGCAGAGGTGCCAGGCTGTCTCTCCTCAGCTTCCTGCCCACTCGTGGGCCTGGCTGTCACCCCACACTGTGCCTCTGGGCACCATCTTAGGGCACCAACAGCCCTAGTCCAGAGACACCCAATTAAATCCAAAAATGGATTAATTGCCCTACAGAAATGTCTCTGGAACCCAACTATCTACAATCTAGGATTCCAGAAGCGTAAGGCTGCAGTACCCATGATATTCAAAATGAGCAAGGTAAAATAAATGATCTAGCATCTGCTCCTTTCAGGCAGGCTTGAATGGTGGTGGGAAAATTTGAGCAAAACATAATGCCCAAAAGTAGAGAGAGAACATTGGGGAAATTATCTGCCATGGAGGCAGGGTGAGGCAGGCTGAGGACTGGGATGGCAGGGGGTAGGGAGAGAGGATATACTGGGCACACTGGTGGTAGAAAGTGTGCACTGGTGGAGGGATGGGTGTTCAATCATTGTACGGCTGAATCTTGAACATGAAAGCTTTATAACCGTATCTCACGGTGATTCATTAAAAAAAAAGTTAATGTGGAGTTCATGCCCAATTCAATCATCTTAATCAATGGCTGAATAAATAGCAGTACTCCTACGTTAAAAAAAAAACTCAGGGGTGAAAACACATACGAATCCTGTACTGAGAAGCTGCAGTGTAACCTCACTTCCCTGGAGACCATTTCTCTCAAGTAATACGCGCATGCTAATGGTTTGTGTCAGGCACTGAGACAGCTATGTGAGCTTCCGCTTAGCTGCCAGGAAACACAAGGAGCTAAGCTGTGTGCCCAGAAGGTGTGGGGAAAGTCTGGGGAGTCAAAATACTGACATAGTCCCTCAAGTGGCTTCGAGGCACATCTAGGTTTGGGGGATGAAAATCTTTCCTGCTTCTTCAGTTTCTAGGACCAAGAACAGATTTTGGAGCAACAGCTGCTTGGCAACAAGGACCCTCAGGATCTTCTCTCTTGCATTTTCCCCAGTATTGAATGGAACTAGGGGAATGACTGGAAGCAATTAGAGCACTAGTGGGGGGCAGGGACTGGTGCCAGCAAGCGTGGGGCTGTAGTCCCCAGGTGTAGGCTCAGAAAGCAACACTCACTTGCCCTTGCTGGCTAAGTTGTCCAAGCAGGTTTTGATGTAGCTCTTGTAGTAATCCACCTGCTCGCCATAAAAGGTGGCCTTTGAGTTAAGGGCAGAGTAAGTCTGCTGCAATTTCACTAGCTCCGCCTTTCTCCTCTGTCGGTATCTCCGCTGATTCCGAATGTCCTGAGGCACAATTATGAAAATGAGAAAAATAATGAGCCATCATGTGCTTCTGAATCATTAACACCAGAACCCAGTAGAGCCTGACTTGGCCTCGCATGACCACTCATTCTCAATAGGCACCAATCTATGTTCAAAAATTAACAAAGAAAGATCTCATCACTTTCCCCGCCCATACCCCAACTTGTACTTTCTGCAGGCAGGAAAATATATTAGACTTCCACATTCTTAGACTTTACTTGCAAGGTTGGTTTAAGCCCCTTACATAAGACCAGAGAGATGGTTCAGTAGTAGAGTACATGCCTCACATATATGACTTTGAATTCCAGCACTGTTTAAAACATAAAAAAAAAGCAACAGCCAAACACATAAATGAAAAATGAACAAGCAAACAAAACCTCTTAAGTATGTTGCCAAATGAGGAAGAAAAGCTGATTTTCCAAGAGCAATGGCTAAGATCTCACAGCATGCATGGTATGTTTTCAGGGCAAAAGCCAAACACCTCCCAAGCCTCAGCCAGGATGTGAGAAGATTCACAAGGGTCAGAAGGATCAGGAACGTGACCAGTTACCTGATGAATTTAAACTTCAGGAAAGTCATGATAGAGATCAAAGGGAGGTAGGGAGAGGCTCATGGGGATGGAGCACAGGTTTTGCATGTGGGAGAACCAGTTCTACTGCCAGCACCACATGGCTCCCCAAGTAATGCTGGGAATGATCCAGATACTGATTTGGGAGTGACCCCCTAAAGCTAGGAGTCGCCCCCAGCTAGAGTTATGAGAAACACCTGAGCACTGCCAGGTGTGACCCTAAAAAAAAAAAAAACAGGTTGGAGAGACAGCTCCCTTGAGTGAGGGCATGAGAGAAAGCTCTGTGCAGTGGAAGGCATGAGAGACAGCTCTGCAGAGTGGAAGGTATGAGAGATAGCTCCATGGAGTGGCGAGCATTTCTTCCTGCAGGACAGGTTTCAATCCCAGCACCACATGGCAAGAAAACAAATTCTACAGGTGTTCTGGACACCGAGACTGGTGAACAGGAAGTTCTATTAGGGTCTTTATCTCCACAGCCTGGGCTGCAGAACAAGCAACAAGCATGGGGAGAGCTTCAAACCAGTCAGAATCAGCTCCCAGGAGAGCCCTTTCATCCGTCCCAACCCCTGCAGGCATGCTGGTTTCTGAAAATCTCTGTCCCGATCCCACGACCAGCCTCTGCGCCAGTGCTGGCCATGCCACACCGGCACTGCTCCCCGAGACAGTACCCTGGCAATGTCGTTGATCAGCTCCTGGTATCTGTTCTTTGGGTTGACGGTCCCAAGCTCTGAGAGCTTCTTCAGGCCTGACTGGATCTTCTCCTTCTTCTCCTGAAGCGTGAGGTTGCTGTCCTCTTTCACAGACTTGGACTTCTTCATCTTATCAGGGGTCTTGGCATCACGAATAGCACGTCTCTGCATTGCCCTCTGATGTTCCGCTTCCTACAGGTAAGACAAAGGTCCTGCGATAGTCATACTAGCCAGACCCCAACTGACACAGTTTAGCTGCCCTGGGAAGTGATCTCCTCTAACTTTGTTCCAAAGACAGAGGAGAGCAGCAAATAGCCCTCACAAACTGTCACAAGCAGAGACAGATTTTTCTCAAATGCCACCTTGTACAGCTTCTCTGCATTTTCCTCTTGCTCTAAGCATGGGCTTGGCACTCAAGTGGCCAGAGATTATCTCTGAGAGCCTCTGCAGATGAGGGTCTGGCCCCTGATTTCAAACTGTTTGTACTGGAATGTTAACAGTTGAAATTTCTCCCAAACTAGAACAATTCCCTTTTCCTCTAACAGTTAAGCAGCCACCTCAGATAACAACTTTCTTGATTTCCCAGACACCAGCATCTCCCAAATTGTGCCAATTTTACCTGCTTTGAAATGCACTGAACTGGCGCCTGCTGTCATTACCAAGAGTATTCGCAGGCTCAGAATTCACAAACCAATGAGCAGACCTACTTGTATCTTGGCTCACAGAATGTGAATCAGGAGTAAAACCCCAAGCGACTCCCTTCCCACTGCCAGGGTCCCCCCAGAGGATAGGGCTGGCATGCTGCTGAACGCCCCCAGTGACATGGCTGGATGGCAAGAAAGCCACACAGCTCCTTACCCTGCAGCCCTCTCTGTTCAGGAGTCCACACATTTGTTCTGCAGCTATCCTCTCTGCTACGTGAGACCTTGAGTCTCACCTGCAGGCCAGTTGGGCCACCCTCCTGCCATCTCCTCCTCTAGGCTGATTTCTTCTCCCCCCAGCATGCCCTCCGGCCCCCTCCTGGCTACCTTCCTCAGTCTGGCTCAAGCCCTCTTCTTTTTGGTGCTTTGCTCCTCACTGGACTCCTTGAATCGTCACATTATCCAAAATCACAGGGAATTTCCCACCCTCTGCTGATCTTTCCAGGGTCACAGTTGGGCATGCCTCCCCACCTTGAGCAAGCACTGGCGGTATTTAGGAGCCACCTTCCATACCTTTCAACCTACCAAGGCACTCAGTCTAACCTCACAAGTGAGCTTCCCATGAACACACCCCACATCCTGCACCCAAGCTGCCAGGGGCCGCTGTGCCAACAATGGTCTGCATGTGGGTTTCTGAGAACCTCCACTCAGGAGGCCACACCCCAACCTGCTCCCAGTCAGCCCTGGGTGGGGTCACCAGGGTCTCTCCTAGCAGCCCGAGCCTGAGTACCTCCCCTTGGGAAAGCCCTAAGATACCTGCTCACTGGTGGCTGCTGTTTCCAGGATTTCTGTTAGGGTCTCTCCTGGCTGGAAGCGGATGACATCCACGATTAACCGTTTTGTGCTGCAAGGAGAGCAGGGCGGGAGCATCCAACATCACCAAGTGTCCCACCTCCTCCAGGGAGCACCAGTTATACCCCATACAGTGCCCCACTAGCTCATCCAGATTTATTTATGCAACTACAACAGAGCCGGTACCCAGGTCAGGATTCCCAAGAGAGGGAGTTCATCACGGCATCTCCTTAGCAAATCCAGGCAGTTAAGTCCTGGATCAAGTATGATACATGAGGTGAGCAGACAAAAAGGCAAATCCAGGTCCAGGGGTTTGCTTAGCAGTGGACCCATGTCTCAAATGTGAGGCCATGGGTTCGACCCCTGGCACAGGGAAAAATAAAAGGCCAAGACCACCACTTGGGGTACAAGCAAGCAAACTTATTCACCAAGGCTCCAGGCTCTCAGATCACATGTACTTCCCTTTTCCGCTCCGACACTCACTTCAGTAAGATGGTCCGAGCATCCATTTCTGCGTTCTCATCCCCAGGCACATCAAACTTGTTGGTCAATGTGAGAGACACTTCTGTCTTAGCCAGCACCTCCTTATTTGGGTCATTTACATTGCCAGCACTTTCTCCTGTGGTTCAGGAGGGTATAGTCAGTATCCAACAGACAAGAGACAGTAATACAAGTAACAGACAATGCGAGTCTAAGAATATATTTGAACAAGCCAACAGTGGTAAGGATTCTTTCTAATGAGAAATAGATCATCCCAATAGTAAAGGCGAAGGATCCAAATTAAATTAATGACCCAAATATCTGAGAGATCATCTGAACACTATGATAATGTAATTCTCTCTCAAAGTCTCTTCAGTTCTCTTATGGGATGTCTAATCTAGTTTTAGGAGGATGCGTGCACGTGTATGTGAAAGTCTATCCCACTGGCTTCCGCTTCAGAGCGAGAGCACCTCAAGGTGTGAGCAGGGCCCGAATGGTGCAGAAATGGGGGAGACAACACTGCTACCCCACCCCCTCTAGCTGGGGAACTTTACCGATCAGGGATTCAATGGTGGGCACCTCGCCCAGGTCATCCAGTAGCTCGTGGATTGGGTCATTGTGTTCTGGCGCAATGGCGTCCTGGTGATCCAACAGGAGCTGTACCAACACCCAAAAGTCAACTCCATCACCACATTTAGACTGCTGGCCTCAACCCTGCATACCCCAGAGTGATGCCCCATAGGAAGCTGGCTGGCTAACAAAGCTCCAGTAGCTCAAACTGACAAGTCAACTGTTAGCAAACTAACCCAAGGAAGCAATATAATACACAATGCATCATGCTGGCCTCTCTTGAATGATATAGGCTGTGATGTGCACAGAGGAAACATTCATGGATATTTCATATATGTATGAAAATCAACATGACCCAGACATCAAAATTCACAGCCATCTGTTATAAGGTAAGAACCACTTGGAATAACTTAACTCAGAGAAAAGCGCACCACGTTAATGCATCATACATAGCAGCACTCATGAAAATCTCTCAAGATGCTGTAACTCAGGGCCAGGGGACAGCTCAAATGGAAACATACAGCGTTTCCCTACCATGCAGGAGCCTTTAGGCTTGATTCCAATACCCAGAGGGTCCCCTAAGCACCACTGGGAATGACCCAAAAACAAAAAAAGATGTTATTATCCCAATGACAATCTCAGAAATAACAGCAGCTAAAATGTGATGCACATTTTATATATTGCTTTTTGTTTATATTTCCCCAAAGGGAAATTAAATGAATTATACAAATTTGGGCGAGGTGGGGGCGAAGTGATAGTACAGTTTGCTTTGTATGTGGCTGACCCGAGTTCAATTCCCTATCCCACATGGCCTTCCCCAAGTCTGCCAGGAGTGATCCCTGAGTACAGCTGGGCTAGGATCACTTCACAAAACAATGATAGTTAAGAATAACAAACAGAAGCAAGGAAAACAAGCAGGCAGGTGTGACATGAATAAGATCAAAGGGAAATTAGGTTATCTGGCTTTCAGAGGCGGTAGGCAGCAGCAAGGACATGAAGTGATTAAAGAAAGCCACGAACCGTGTGGGTGTTAATGATCTCCCCGATTGAGATGTAGATGACTGGCTTGGTGAGAGTCACCAGATCCGAGTATTCATCCACATTAAATTTATCCTGAAGCTCAGGGACATCACAAGCAGACTGGAAAAACCGCCTGAAAGTAAGCACAAGGGCCTAACACGTGAGTCACATGTGAGGCCAAAAGTCCAAGGGAGCAGTCAAGATGGTTCATCGTGGAGGGACTGCTGCACCCTCGGGCTTGACACCAAGGCTGTTTGGGTACTAATGACTTTGTCTGACTATCACTCACCCAGAATGCAAAGCAGCTGTAAACACCTCTACTATTAGAACCCTCATTTCTAAGATAATGCCACAAATTGACAATGAGGGGTAAATTTTCAACTATTAAATGTTCTCCCCGATGCGTCTCTGAAGACAAAGAAGCAAGGGTTGAATGTTTCCAAGCCTGGCTTTTACTGAAGGTCTGTCTATTTCTCAGGCAAACATTCCCAGGGCTGAAGAAGTCCACTCTCCATCTCTTCAGAGCTGAGCCCACACCAAGAGATGGAAAGGCATCTGCAGAATCATCCAAACACCTCGTCCCTTACCCCTTACCTGAATTTCTGGTAGGACTGGGAAAGATATTCGTTAATGATGCTTAAGTGAGCGTTATCTCCCAGAAACATCTTATTGGAAGCTGCGTGCTGCAGCATTTTGGCAATGGAGCCAAGGTTCCGGCGTTGGTCGGTGGTGAGTTGGCCTCCTGCTGACAGGTCGATGATGTCGAATGCATCAGGAGCCACAATGGCTGGATTCATGTACCGATAGTAAAGCAAGTTACCAATAATCTGGGAACACATGAGACAGGACAACAGCTGTTAGAAACCACTCCACTCACAAATCCACAAGTGACTTTGCTAGCAAAGAAAACCAGAAAAGCAGTCCTGTGAGGTACAAATAAATACCACACAAAAGCATGCATGCATGCATACTTTTTCTTAAAGCCAGAAGATAAGATAGCCAAACATCCCTTGATGGATGCAGAAAACAAAGAGAATAAGAACAGAACTGGAAATCATGAAAACGAAAGAGCAGATTCAGGAGGTAAAAACAACAGCTGTCAAGTCTTTGAGCAAGGGGTGGGGGCAGCCTTGGAGCACATCACAGCAGCAAATACAGCTACTGTCACCCGTACCATTTTGCAATTAATTGCACAGAGCTGGACTTGCATTCTAAGATGCAAATGAACATTAAGGGACTCTGAAGTCCGTAGACATGGCCCAGGGAGCATAATGCCACCTGCCCAACCCTCATCGTCCTCATGCCATACACTTCAAAGGTGGACAAGTTCATCCCTGTAGAATTCAGGTCAGTCAACCAACACACATCTTGTCCACAGAAGAATTCAATGACAGTTATTTCCCCTAGAGTTTCATTCCAAAAAAAGAAAAATTAATTCACCTGAACAGAAAGTCTATAATCGAGGCCTCACTGTAGGAAAGCAGAGAACTAGGAGAGAGAAGAAAAAGGCATTCAGATTAAAAAGAAAAGAAGAAGAAAAAAAAAACGGAAGGAGCACAGTTGAGTAAGAAAGTGATTTATCAGCAATAGTTGCAGCAGAAACAAGGGTGCTTACTACAGTTCACTGGGGCACCAGCAGAGGGAGTAATTCTTCAGCGAAAGACAGGTCTCAAAGAATATGACTGTAAGAGCTTGTCTTCTAGACTTGTGATGTCTGTACCAGTCAAACCACATAAGAACCTCATAGGAACCATCTTGAATGATTACAGTCTCTCTTGAAAACTCACAATCAGTGGTGCCGGATCAGTGCTAAAAACTGGGCCTCGATGGGTAAAAAACTGGGGGGGTCCCTTGGAGGTTGCTGGGAGGGACAGGAGGTGGCAGCTTTTAGGATCTTACCTTCAGCAGCTCATCCTCACCAGCGTCGGGGAACTTCTCATGCAATGAGTCCTTCAGCACTTTGGCGATGAAGCGCATCCCGTAACTGTGGGCAGACAAAATGGAGTGAGACGGGCGGCGAACAGAAGGGCCTGCCACCCGGCTCTACACTAGCAACCACATGAACAGTACTCACGGAATCTTGTCCACAGAGCTGACAATGGCTGAGAGGAACTTGTCGGTCACGGCCCGCATGTTCCTGATGGAGCTGTCGAGCCGGGTCTTTACTTCTTCATGCGTCAATGCCTGCTCAGGGGTCACGTCGTAGGGCAGTTTGCTGGGAAAGCAGAAAGTTCCCCCCAGCCAAATCAGCCCAACAGCTGAGGTTGCCCTGAGGTTACACCATGTTCTCTCAGCACCAGAAAGACTGAATATCAGGAAGCGCACTCATGCTCCAGGGACTGCTAAATGTGAGGGTGTATGCAGGGGGTGGGAAACAGAGGAGTCTGAATTTTGAGGGAGAGTGCTGGGGCCTACCACATGGAATGAAGGAAGGAGGGCGTCCACGAGATGAGGAGGTAGGAACAAGAGTGCTGTGGTGGGGGCCCCGGGGCAGTGCCGAGAGCTTGAGGAGGCATTGTCAATGCTCCCCTTTGGGTCCTGCTTCGGGAGGAACATATTGGATGTGAAGGCAGAGGAATATACAGGAGCCCTGGGGAAGACAGCTGTGCTAGGTCCTGCTTCTGAAACTGTGGGCCTCACTCAGTGTATCATCGGTGGGTGGGAAGAGGGGGGATAGAGGCAGGGGAATAGGAAAATATCTTAAAAATTTGTTTTAGAAGAAATCTTTATGATTACCAGTAAAGTTTTCACTTGAATGCCTATTTTATTTCTTAGGTTTCTGGGCGATACCGGGCAATGCCCAGGGGTTACTCCTGGTTCTGTGCCCAGGGATTAGAGAGCTCAGGGGACCATATGGGATACTAGGGATCAAACCTAGGTCAGCACTGTGCAAGGAAAGCACCCTACTCGCTGTACTATCTCTGACCTTCCCTTGACTGCCTATTATATATGCCTAAGTACCTGGATCGCATAATAGTTTCTCAGGCTAAAAGGAGTGGTGAGTGGAGAAACTGATGGGCTCCCAGCTCAGAGGGCTAAAAGAGTGTCCTTTGGGCTCTTTCCATGACCTGCTCCCACCATCACCCGGGCTCTAGTGCCACAACACACTACACCTGTGCTTCAGATGCGAGAATCTCATTCACGAGCAGACCTAACACATAACTTCCTGTAAGATGCCTATGATTGAGTTCAACCCAGCCCCACACCACTTCCTCCCTCCTTAAGACACACAGAAACCACACTTGGCCGCCACACTCTTCCCTCCAGTCACAGTTATGGGGAGACCAAGAGCATCCTTTCTCCTGATTCCTGAACTCCTTCTACTAGAAGCACTCACACAGGAACTGGCCCACTACTGGCAAAGATGCCCCACTTCAGGCCTTTCTCCTTGCTTTAAGGTACACCCTCTTGAATTCTCCATTCCGGTTCCCGATGCAAGACCTTAAAACTCCCCCAACTTATGCTTTTATTCTCAGACATCTATTTGTGATCTCTGCCACTCCATAAACTATGAACAGAGAATAGGCAGCATGTGACGTTCATGAATATGTTTGCCTTGTGACCACATAACTGCACACGGCACATAGAAAGAAGTATTTGCTAAAATAATGAATCTATTACTATGTCAACAACTTAAAGACTTCTAAGGAAAAACTGAACAATTACTAGTATGTAAATCTAATGGGTGAAAGAGAGAATAATGAGAACACAAAAGAGAAGCTATCCTACCTTGCCTCTCCTGTCTGTGACTCCATCTGGTTAACCCACGATTTGTAAATGTCCACAGGGTCGGTTTTAATGTTAAGAGATTTGTCATCCATAATCTCCTTCACGACAGGGGCCAAGATCTGTCTCAAGGCATTCTGGCCCCGGGCACCACGGTTGAAACTCACAACCATCTTAATAACTGTAGGATTTCCTGTCACAATCTCTTGAATCTGATCTACTTTTGACCTGTAAAACATTAAATACTCAATGAAAATAAATCACAAAATATTTACCCTTAAAGAGCCCACCCTCTCTAAGCCAAGAGGAAGGAGAAGGCAGACACTCTCCCTAGACACATTTCTCACTCGTTGCTGACAGATCACAGGTCCTGTCTGTGACTGCTACAACTCAATAATGGCAGATGACAAGGTTCTTTATTAGACAGAAATGGGGTCTCTTCGTGTTTGGATTAGACCTTAAAAAACTATTTATCAAAGTAGACGTTTCCTAGACCAATTTAGCAAATCTCTAAGGATATAGGTAACAGATACATTTTTCTATACCAGAGCAGCAACGTGCTATGATTTATAAATTATAGATTGGATGCAGCAATCCACACAGACCCAAGCTCAGGCTCCAGCTCCCGACTCTCATGCCAACTACCCCACCCCTGCAGAAAGCTGCTCACTTGATTTCCTCCTGCAGCGCAGTTTGAAAGAGCCGCAGCAACAGGTACTCCTCTCTCTGGTTGGATGCATAGTTGTAGAGGGTGAAGATTACAGAATCCATAAACTTAGTAGACTTGTTCTGGGGCATCTGAAAAATCAGCTTGGCCAGGTACGTGGGGTTGGTCTGAAATGAGAACAAGGGGTAATTTCAAAGATATATAAAAGCAGGCAAAAAGACTCCAGTTCGGGAGTCTTGTGGACAGCAGGTTTGAGCCGGGGGCGGGGGGCGGCAGGGGCCTCATGGGAAGGGGGGCGTTCTGGGCCGTCCTTCACGCCCGACCGAGGTCACCAGCTGCCCCCCACGAGCGGCTCTCCGGCACGGCCATGACTCCAGAGCACAGAAACCAATCTCTTAACTATCTAACTTTTAATAGAAATACTTCCAGGGTTAATAAGTAAAACAGCAGAAATCCAAAACCGCACGGCTGCAATTGCGGCCGTGCGACATCATTTTATTCTTAAACCCAGCTGTAGAAAGCAAATCATTTCACAACGCTGTTTCAGCATATCTGATTGGGGGGGGGGGGTCGTAAACTCTAAACAATAAATGTGCATCTCCTATCGAAACAATGTATCTAGTCAAAGTAGATGGAGTATTAACTAGAACTCATCTGCCTCACAGGAATAGGGAGGGGTGGGAGGTGGGGTTCTATTGGGGTTTGCGGTTAAAAATAAGTATTGGTAAAGGGAAATGTGTTTGATACTTACATGACTGAGACCTAAACCCGAAAGCTCTGTAACTTTTCCCACAGTGATTCAATAAAGAAATAAATTATTAAAAAAAAAAAGACTCCAGTTACCTAAATGATTAAAGAAAAGACAGTTTTTCGCTTACTCCTTGTTGGAAATCAGAAATACCTGGACAGCTCCAGAGATAAGACTTTTGTATGAAAATGTAAACCAGCTCAATTCTATAAACCTGATTCCAGGAGTCACGCACCTGCAGTAAATAAAACAGGTGCTGATAAGCTTCCAGCTTCTCTCTCTTCTCCTTGCTCAGAGCCTTGAGCCCGCCCTTCTGCTTACTCAGCATCATCATATCAGACAGCTGCTCCTTATTTTTCTTGGTGAGTTTCTTACTGTGAGAAACCACATCCTATAACAAAACCAACATGTAAATCAGAAAGTTCTTGAAGCTGGCCACTCTGTAAAAGTCGTTCCCTAAAGTCGAGCATCTATCCTTGTCACCACACTGTAGCTCACATCAAGTCCAGCCAACGGCCAGCTGAGAAACCGAACCGAGCGGCTATGGATACGACTTAAGGAGCAGAGCGCATTTCTGCAGGCACGGGGTCCTGGGTCTGGTCCCCAGCTTATTCCTGTCCCAGCACTGCTGGGAGTGAAACCCCCCAACTACCAACAATGACAGAATTGTAAGAATGTCCATTGGCTCTAGAAATTAACCGCGACCTGGAGCGACAGCACAGCGAGCAGGGCATTTGCCTTGCACGTGGCCAATTCGGGTTTGATTCCTAGCATCCCATATGGCCCCTGGAGCACTGCCAGGAGTAACCCCTGTGCATCACTGGGTGTGACCCAACAAGCAAAAAAAATTAAATAAAAATTAATTGAATGTTCTATGTAATTTTCTTGGAATACAAACTTAATGTCCAAGAGTTGAGGGGGTGGGAGGAAAGTAAATCACCATATACCTTTCTAACGAATTCTTTCTATTGTTGCTGTTTTGGGAGGCTGTACCCAGTGGCAGGGCACTACTCCTGGCTCAATGCTCAGGGAACCAAGGACAGAACACTGACAAGTATGTACTCCAGCCTAGACCTAGCTCTCCAACCCTCTGATAGTCTTTGTTTGGTTTCTTGGTCTTAGGGCCACACGTGGCAGTGCTCTGGGCTTATTGCTGGTCCTATGCTCAGGATCACTTCTGGCAGAAATCAGACCACCTAGGGTGCCAGGAATCAAACCCAGGGCAGCTTCTTGTGGGGCAAGTGCCCTACCACTGTACTATCTCTCCAATCCCTCTGATAAATTCTTTTTATGCTCATTTGGTTTTCGTTTTGTTTTGGGGCCACAACCAGCAGTATTCAGGGCTTATTCCTGGCTGTGTGCTCAATGATCACTTGTGACTGGCTCAAGTGCCAGGGATTGAATCAAGGTTGGCTGTATGCAAGGCAAACACCTTACCCGCTGTATTATTGCTCCAGTCCCCCCCATAACAAATTCATATGTATTTGGGGTCAGAGTGATAGTACGCCAGGTAGTGTACTTGCCTTGCATGCAGATGATATGGATTTAATCCCCAGCACCCTGTATGGTCCCTTGTTCCCTACCAGGAGTGATCCCCGAGTACAGAGCCAGGAGTAAGCACTAAGCATTGCTGGGTACAGCCAAAAAAACAAAAAAATAAAAATTATAAACAGTACTTAAGGGGCTGGGAAGACATCTCCAAGGGGGAAGAGGACAAGCCTAGCATGTGCAAGATCCTGGTTTCAGACCCTGGTACTACAAGGTGCCCTGAGCACTGTGAGCAAAGCCCCCTCAAAAGAAAATATTTAAGACTACCATGTGGAAAGTAGTTCATCCTCTAATATTAACCTAAAATATAGCATACAAAAGGATTGTGGGTGGTGAAATTATAGGAGTGTTTTTTGGTGTTTTTGTTTTTGTTTTTGGGATCACACCCGGCAATGCTCAGGGGTTACTCCTGGCTCTGCACTCAGGAATTACTCCTGGTGATGCTCAGGGGCCCCTGTGGGATGCCAGGAATTGAACCCAGGTTGGCCATGTGCAAGGCAAATGCCCTCCCTGCTGTACTTTGCCTCCAGCCTCTAGGAGCGTGTTTTCATCTCATTTTCTTTCCTCAACCATTCCAGTGGAACAGATGCCAGCCTCCTCCCTGCCCTATGGGAAGGTAGAGCTAAGCCCCGAGGCCCCAGGCCTGGCACCTGCCTGCAATGTGATCTTGTTCTTCACCAGCAGTCCGATCTTGATGTCCATGAGGTTGAGGTCATTCTCCAGCTGCTGGTTAGAGCGGATGAGGGTGACAACCTCTTCCCGCATTTTCATGAGATCCAGCTCCTCCTGAAAATCCTGGTCACTCTGGTCGAGCAGGTGGACAAACTTTCGGACGACAATCATAGGCGGGTCCTCGGCATTGACTGACAGAGAGATCAGGTCAGTGCAGGATGCAACCACAGGCAGGCCTGTAGGCTGTGGGAACTAGCAGCACCACCTCGAAAAGGCAGCTCTGTTCCCACAGGACATGTCTGCTCATGACTTTTGCTTTGGGGGCCACCAGCAATCCTCAGGTCTACTCCCAGCCAGGTGCTAAGGGAACCATGCAGTGCCGGGGAAAGCAGCTGGGCATCCTGCATGCAAAGCTTCTGGCCCACCCACTGAAACAATCTCTCACTTCTCCATTGGAGAAGTGCCAAGACAATTCTCAAGGGCAGCTGTGCCTTGCTGTGCTATGGCCACAGCAAACAGAGCAAGCAACGGGTTCCAGCATAGGTTAGGATGGGAGAGATGAAGGGGAGATGCGCCCCCTCCCCCCACCCCCTGCGTTACTCACTGAGGGTCTTGTAGTCATCACGGGCTTTGTTTGCACGAATGAAGGCCTGGATTTTGATGATGTCATTTATCTAATGGATAAAGAAGAAAAACTGCCTATGTGCATCTGTCTGCTAAAAAGAAGCACCAAAGCTCATTCCTGTCTCATATGGGGCATTCCCAAGGGTACATACGTGGTCTTGGAAGTACTGCAGGCGGTCTCGATATCGCTTTCGAGCTTGATGCATCCTTGCTAGGGACTGCAGCTGAGGGACAGGGACCCCAGAAGTCAGAAGAGTCCTTCAGCTGTGCTCATGCTGTTCCCCCACACCTGGCCACTGTAGCTTGGCCCCCAGGCCTACCTTAATCACTTCATCTCTGTGGGCACGCAGGTAAGCCAGCCGGTCCTGATATGCCTTCTTCTGCCTGTAGCCTCGCCACTGTGACTGAAACCACCAAACAGCACAGGCGGTACATTATTTCCCAAGTATGGATGGAGGGAGAAGCCTCCCCTTGGAATGCAATCCGAGTGCTGGGCAGGCAGGAGCTCTCAGGATAAGGGCATCAGGAATGAGCGAGGGTCTGAGAGGCACCTTCACTAGGAGGCCTGGAGGCTGAATCCAGTCCCGGACATGAGTACAGCCCAAGCCCCTCAGTGCATGACCAAGCAGATGCCCTTTAGGCTCCTTACAAAAAATCCAGTAAGGAAGATAAAGTGAACACCACAGGCCTCAAATAATATCGCCTTTCAATGTGTTTTGTGTAGAACTCTGAGGAGAAAGCAATCCAGCCTACAGAGATGTAGGCCCTGCTTTCCTTCTATGTTTTATTTGAAGTCAGTTCCAAGAACCAATATTGGGGCTGCTGAATGAGGATGGACTATCCTGGGCACCCAGTTAGTCGGGAAACAAGCTTGGGCAGAACATGAGTGAAAGTTATGCCCTAAGCTAACTCCCAGTCCTCTTTGGGAAGCTGTGCACTCCTGTCACTGAAGCACAAGCTCAAGGTTCAGATCTGACACGAGGGTCTGTCTGAAGGAGACAGAGAAAGTACTGTCAGAGGAAGATGAGGTAAAAGATCAGAAGCAAGGAAGACACAGGAACATTCCATAGTAAAAGCAGACAGTTTATTGTCCCTGTGCTAGACACCCACTTGTTGTCTGGAGAGGCTCTGAAATACCTGGATGCAGGTGATGGCAGGGACTTGTTTCTTTAGGAAATTCATCCGGGACCGGAATTCCTGTCGAACGAGGTACCCCCGGCAGCAAGCCTGCAGCTTGGTGATCAAGCCCTCATTGGCCAGCCAAAGCTGTTCCCGGTTATATGCAGCCGTCACCCCAGAGATGGAACTCTGCAAAGGCATTGGTCGTGTGAGAAGACTTTTAAGGGGGGCCAGAATGATAGACCAGGTAAGGTGCTCACCTTGCACGTGGCCAACACAGGCATACCCCAGCACCACATACAGTCCCGAGCACCACCAGGAATGATCCCTGAGCACAGAACCAGGTGTGGCCCCAAATCAAAATAAACAAACAAATAAAGGAAAGAGGTAAAAGAAAGACCAGCAAGGGTAGGAATGGACACTCTGACAGTACCACGCAGAGCCAATGCCCCTCTGCGTCCCAGGCCCACACCAGATCTTGGGCTGTGCGAGCCGGAGGGAAGGCTTCACGTCTACTTCTCCAGCCCTGGGAGTTCTCACTTACAGAGACAAGTCTTCACCCACAATGGCAATCCTGCTCATCTGCTGTGTCAATCCCTGACCCACTCACCAACACAGCACTATTGCAGGTGACCTGGGGTTACTGGGGACAAGAGGATTGTGACAGATGCCAACCCTAAAATGCCACAGGGGAGGAATCTGCTTGGCCAGACTGCAAGTGGGCTGGAAAAGTAGTCTGGACTGCAGCATGGGCCCTGGACTCCAACCATAAACAGGGACCCAACCAAGCTGACAGGCTTGAGGCGTAGTTCTCAGTGGATCAATCGGATACTGCTGTCATGTTCCACAGGGACAGCCTGGGGTGGGTGTGGCTGCAGTGAGAAACACCACTGAAATTTACTGAGCAGAATGTCTGTCACTGTCACTATCACTGTCCTCCCGTTGTTCATCGATTTGCTAGAGCGGGCACCAGTAATGTCTCACAACAAATCATGAGACTGTTGTTACTGTTTTTGGCATATTGAATTTGTCACGGGTAGCTTACCAGGTTTTGTCGTGCGGGCGAGATACTCTTAGTAGTTTGCCGGGCTCTCCAAGAGGGGCGGAGGAATCAGACCTGGGTGAGCCTCATGCAAGGCAGACGCCCTACCCAATGTGCTATCGCTCCAGCCCAAACAGAATACCTACCTCAGTCAGTTCTATAGTCTGATATTTTACTCATTCATTTCCCCTACCCTAGAGGAAAAAATTACTTCCCATTTCATTACAAACCTAAGTTTCGTCTGAGGATTCAGACCACATGCCTTGATCCTAAGTAACATCAGCTCTGAAATATTCCTCCTGCGGGGGCCCTCGGGACAGTGAGAAAGGACACTGAGAATGGAAATGGTGAGAGGCACCTGGGACCTACCTGGATTTCCTCCCGAGAGAGCTGCATGGAATTCTGCACAAAGCCCTGGGGCTCGTCCCAGCCTCCTGCCTGACTCTCCAGATTGTGGTAATAATAATATCCACCTTTCACCCAATGCTTCACCCACTTGCTGCTATTGTCTCCTGGCAGAAAACACAGAAAACATTAAATAAGCCAGAGTCATGCCTGCACCTGTGCACGGAAGGGCTCTTCTGCTGGGGCTCAACAAGTAAGGTAAAGGCAGCAAACACCTGTTTCTGGGATCCAGGTGAGCCAAGAGTGTACCAAGTCCTCTCCAATCATGATTTTGTGAAGTTCTCTTTAGCCCACTCCTCTCCATTATAAAAACTAAATGCCCATGCAGTTCATCCAATTAGCAAAGGCCTTTGACTTTGCTCCTTGCGAAAGCCTATTTAAATTCTAGTGTGTGAGAATATCTGGACAGATCTGTACCCAGGGCTGGGGAGAAGGCTGAAGTGCAGGCTCTGCATGTGGGAGTCCCTGGGTTTGATCCCTGGAACCACCAGGAGTGACCCCTGAGTACTGCCAGGTGTAAATCCAAAAAAAAAAAAAAAGACAGTCTGCAATCAGTTCAATTTAAAGGTCATGAAACGGGCTGACAAATCTTCCCTTCATTCCCCTCTTTCTGCAGATAAAGCATCTACATGCTCAGATAAGGGAAGCACTGAACCTTGCCAAGCTTTGGGAAATTTTTCAGAAACAGAGACGTTATGTCCTCCGGGTTTTAAAATAAGTGTTATTACCAAATGAAAGATGCACACGGATCACCTTTCCCTATGGCAAGGCCTCTCCTCTTCTCTCACCATATGCATGAGTTCACATCTCCAGGGCATACACTCACCCACGGCCAGTTTTTTCTTCTTGGCTTCAGCCAGGTCACTCTGGTAAGTTTCGCCACACTCAGGTATAACGCCATATAAACCCACATCAGGGGAGCGAAGAGCACTCAGAGTTCTGCCAACGTCTCCGCTGTCCACTGCTGCATTGATGGTGTAGATTCCTAAGGCAACTATCCCGGGAGAGAAGCAGGCAGGACTGTTAGGAGGCACCAGCATTTGCACACTGCTCCCCTATGGCTGCTGCGTAGCTCTCACCCCTCCAGGCCGCCAGCCACTCTATCTTGGGTGAGCTGACCAGAGAGGAGGCCCCGTACTGCCCCAGCCTCTGCTGAAGGAAAGAAAACCACGTACATTTTTGGGCTTCCTGGGTGTCTCTGTTGGACTGATGGATTCCACCTTGGATCTCATCCAGCCATAGCACGGCTGACTCATCCTGGGTCTCCTATACACCATGAAAAGTGGAACAAGGTTAGAGCACTGGAACCAGGGTACATGTGAAAGAGAAGTGAGAGTCACTCCAGTCTGGAGGGAAAGGCTGAAACACAGAAGACACACAGGAGTACAATGAAAGGAGGAAAGAGAGGGGAAAAAGTTACAAGAGAAATCATCAGTTGATGTGACAGATTCACAAAGAGGACGCAAGCAGCTGAGATAGAAACAGTTGTGGGGGGTGGGGGCCTTTAACACAGGGACACAGAACTTTTGAGAAAGATGCTTCCTTTGCCAGAGCTATCCAAGAAAGTTCAGTCTTTCCAGTGGCTGTCTTTAAGGTACCAGAGGGACTCAGAAGATTTGAGCAAACATAGGGGCAGATTCTCTGGTCAACTGAAATGATTCAGTCTTAGGAAAGCAAAGAAAAAGAAACTAAGGAAAAAGAGGACACCACCCGAACAGATGCCATCCTAACACCCACAGAATGGCATCCCAGGAGGCCTGGAGCAAGGGGAGGGGGGCAAGAAGATGCTGAAGGACCTGGAATGGAACCAAACTAAGGACAGACAGGGAATTTCACAAACAAAAAAAAGATACAGAGCTGCACAGGCTCTAACTAGTGAATTTTACAAAAAGTTCAAAGAGTTAACACCAATCCTTGACAAACTCTTCCAAAACACAGAAGGGGGAAGAATGTTTCTGGATTCATTCCGAGACCAGTACCACCCTGATACCAAAAACAGACCCACCAGCAATCTAAAAAGAGAAAACCATAGGCCAAATTTAAATTCAGACATTCCACAAGCTAAATCTGGAACTTAGCGGATTATTATTTTTTTAAGAGGATTATTTTTAAAACCATTAAAACCATTCCAAGATGGCCCAGAGGAGCTTAAAAGCTGAGCTGAGTGCTGAGAAAAGACAATTTCACCTCCTGTATCTATCCAGCAAGGCAGCTGGAGCTGGCAAAACTCAGCAAAATTTCCTCTCACTGCTCCGTTTCTCCACCTCTGATGAACTCTGAAACATTCGTCTATGGTGAAAGGAAATGCTTCAAATTGTAGTCACATCCTCTAAAACTTTAACTCCCATGACCCAAACAAAGGAGCAACAGAGAGGGGAGAAGCCCTCATCTAAGTCTGCTTTCCGTTCTCAGCCATAGAACCTGACGCTGCATATTCTCCCAAAGTCCACTGCTCTCCTGGTCAGCTGCAGGCTCTTTCAGAACTGAAGCCACTGGCCTTCATGGTATCACTGCCAAACAGGCCCCAAGGTTGCAACTGTGAATCAGCACAACAGAATTATTTTGAAAATGACTTTTCAAGTGTTCTAATGATCAGTTTGGGAAGGCCCGAGTCAGTAAGCTGACTTCAAAGACAGACATCCACTTTCAGCTTCCCGACACACTAAGAAAGGTATGTTTACTCCCAGCTTGCTAAACAGTTTTATACACTTTACCAGCGGATTAGCACCTCACTGCTATTGACCAAATGTCATTAAGAGAAGCCTGGCTGCACTTCAGGTCGAGGTCAATGGAGGCCCTGTAGGTTGACAACAGCTACTCCAGGCTCAGTGCTCTGCGCCACCCCCAGATCACGCACTCCAGTCCTCTGAGTCACCTTTCTGATCCTCATGAGCAATTCTTGTTTAGGGCTCTTCTGTGCTCAGGGCTGACTCCTGGCTCTGTGCTCAGGGACAATATAGGATGCCGGGATCAAACCCAGTCAGCTTCATGCAAAGCAAGCACCCCACCCTAGTGGGTTACTGGTGGGAGGTATACCATCTCCTCCTGCTGTACTATCTCCTCACACTGTACTATCATTCTGGCCTTCTCATGAGAAATTCTTACCATTCCCTTAACTACCAAGAAGGATGAAAACTGGGGTCTTGGGGCTGGAGCAATGGTACAGAGGGGAGGACATTTGCCTTGCATGCAGCCAACCTGGGTTCGATCCCTGGCATACTATATGGTTTCCTGAGCACACCAGGAGTAATTCCCGGGTACAGAGCCAGGAGTAACCCCTGAGCATCACTTAGGTATGACCCAAAAAGCTTAAGAGTCAAAAAAAAAGACAGAAAGAAAATTGGGGTCTTGCCAAGAATTAGGTTATTATCAAAAATGACCTATACGAAAATCCTCTCTCTGACAGGACAAACATTTCATCACAAAACATCTGCTCTTCATCATGTGAAACCCCCCTACTTTGTTGGCTGAGTTTCCTCCTTTCCCTCTGAGGGGTCAGGCCCCTGTTCCATTATTTATTTTTTGATGGGGCAAGAGGAATTTAAGCCATTTCCAGTGGTGCGAGGGGTTCATTCCTGGCAGTGCCCAGGAGACCATGTGGTGCTGGGAATTAAATTGGGGTTGGTTGGCTGCATATAAGGCAAGCACCTTAATTCCTGTACTATCTCTTTGGGTCCCCCTATCCCATTTCTTTGTTTTTTGGACCACACCCAACAGTGCTCAGGGCTTACTCCTGAGTCTGCAATGAGATAATCACTCCTGAAAGCCTCAGGGTCCATATGGGAGCCAGGGATCAAACCCAGTCACACACATATAAGGCAAGTGACCCACCAGATGCACTATCACTCCAGCCTCCCATTCCATTTCTTAGCTCAATACAAAGCCTCCTATTTTTTGCTTCACTATCTTTGGAATACACATGTTAATTTAGATCCCCCACACTTACACAATTAATTTTTTCCCTCCTAAACTACTGGGGTTTCATTACTCAACAAAAGCCCAGAAGAATCCAGAGGGACAGAAGGAAGCCCCCTTTTCTCCCCAACAGGGCCAAGACAAATGGTGTTATAATTATTTTGGAAAATGTGAATGTCCATAGCAGCATTATCTTAATAATACTTCACATTCTGCAGAAAAATCCCATGTCTATCAACTCATAAATTAAAAATTAAATGTGATGACAGAGCCATATAATGCAATAGTCTTAGCCACTTAAAAAAATTAAAAAGCACTAAGACATGTCATGGCTTGTATAAACCAAGCAAAGTGTTAGATGACAGCCCAGAAGAGCATGCATTGGTATGAGGAAGGGCCCAGATGAGGCAAATTCATAGATAGGAAGCAGAAACTATGGATAGTTGCCTAGGACTAGAAAGAAGATGAAGAGGCACTACTAATGTGCACTGGATTTCTTATGGAGGTGATGAAATGTTCTAAAACTGTGATGGCTGTACAATTCGGTGAACTAATTACCACTGACATACACTTTAAACCTGGATGGTTTGTACCTTACTTTAAAAAAAAAAGATATTTTATGGAACCATCAATTAAATCCTAACAAATATGTATGTATACTTTACCTTTACACAAATTCTACATCTAAATGCAGACCTAACAGAAAGGAATCCATATGCTCACCAAGACAAATACCAGAGAGTTATGAAAACACTATTTGCAGTAGCCAAAAGTGGGAAGACACCAAAACCAGACCAATAGAACAGAGAACTCTGAGACAGAATCAGCCCAACACTGAGAATGAAGGAATCACATGAATGCATTTCACTAACAAATTTGGCAAAAGATGCTACACCAAAAAGAGTAACTAGGGGGTATGGTGCTGCCAGCAGGTCAATCTGCACCTGTGAGGAGAGTGCATCAGCAGCCTGATGGCGCCTTCAGACTTCCAGATACCCCAAAATTGCTGCTGTGCCTTTGGCCAGACCCCAAAACCTTGGGGCAAAGTTCACCAAGAAAGTAAATGGACAAAAGTTAGGCAAGTAGGAGACACACCCACAAACTACCTCTGGCTGAGCTATATAATTGGCGGCATGGCTCACTGGTTCCTGATTGGACTGCTTAACAGCCATGATCCCAGAGACTCAGAAACAAATCTCAAAACCCAACGGCTTTTGGCAGAAATGTGTCCAGTCCCTGCAGTAGGTTTCCGGTGCTGGGCCACCCCAGGTGGGAATAGGTTTCGTGCCTTGGCCTGTTCCTATTCCCTTCTAGTGGCCGCCATCCTCTAGAAGTCACTGGACAGTCAAGTTTGGCCCGCAGTGACGAGACACACGGGGCCTCATGGGATGGGGGTGGGGCTGGCCCTTTCCTCCCAGTCCCAACAAGACCCCGAGTCATCACCCACAAACGCCCTCTGGCTCCTGATCAAGCTGCTTAATGGCCATGATCTCAGAGACTAAGAAACAAATCTTGAAACCCAGTGGGTTTTGGCAGAAATGCATCTGGACCCCGCAGTAGGTTACTGTCACTGGGCCACCCCAGGGGGGTAAGGGTGCTGTCCCTCCACCTGCTCCCCCTTGGCGGCTCGGTGGCCGCCATCCTCCAGAGGCCACTGGACAGTCAGGTTTGGGCCTGCAGTGACGAGACACACAGGGCCTCACGGGATCGGGGTGGAGTCGACCCTTTCCTCCCCATTCCAAAGAGACCCCAAGTCGCCGCCCACAAATGGCCTCTCTGGCTCCTGATCAAGCTGCTTAATGGCCATGATCCCAGAGAACTCAGGAACAAATCTCAAAACCCAGCAGGTTTTGGCAGAAATCCCTCCAGATTTAATTGTTAAGATTTTGGAATTTCAAAATCATGTGGCCACTACTGCTGCCACGCGACATCATATGTTATTCATAACCCGCAATAGAAAACAAATTGTCTACTGTTGCCTTTTCAGCATATCTGAGCGTTGGGGTAAAATCCCAAAGAATAATGGTGGGTCTGGTGTCAAAATATTGAATGTAATCAAAGAAGAGAGAGAGTAATGTGGAAATCAACTGCCCCACGGTAGGAGGAGGGTGTGGGATGGGGGAATACTGGGGTTTTTAGTGGTGGAGAATGGACACTGGTGAAGTTACAGGTATTTCATGGTGAAGGTACAGGTATTTCGTTGTGTGACCGAGACTTAAACCCGAAAGCTTTGTAACTGCTCTCACGATGATTCAATAAATAAAATTATAAAAAAAATGGAAAAAAAAGTAAGGTGGAGTTCATGCCCAATTCAATCAGCTAATCGGTGGCTAAATAAATAACAGTACTCCTACATTAAAAAAAAAAAAGAGTAACTAATGTCTGATCTCCCTTAACTACAGCTCAGAATCAACAACTAAGGTGCTGAAATAGGGACAGTGTTACCAATAAGCGAGAGGACAGAGAGGAATATGAGGGCTTTCTCGGAAGTTCATAATCTGGTAGCATAACACAGGAAAGCACTTTGAAAAACTCATCAACTGATACTTGGGTAACAGGCATTTTTCTGTCTCATATTTCAATACAGACTTTACTGATAAAGAGATGCAAAGAGGCCCAGGACACAGTCATTGGAGGAATCAAGATCAATGTTCCTTTTCTCTCTCTCAGTCGTGGGAAAGTTGGGGATATCAATAGAAAGGCCCATGGCCATGTCACCCACCTGGGCTTTCTCCCGCTTGGCTCTGATCAGTGTGTCTTGGTAATGCTGGGCCACTTCCTCGAGGACTCCCTCGAGCTTGGCTGCAGGAATCTGCAGTGCCTGCAGAGTCTTCTGGGCGTCTCCTTCATCCAGTGCTTCATTGATCAGGCCAATGGCTAAAATCCCTAAGGATGAAGGAACACAAGCCCTCTTTAAAAATGAAGAAAACAAATGTCCATAGAAGTTATACAACTGAAAGGCATCATGAGTCAAACTACAGCTTGTCATCCAGACTCGAGTATAGCTGTGTAAAAAAAAACAGGCCCGATTCACCAAACTTCAACACTTTATAGTTGGAAAGATAAGGCTTCAGGATGGCTTCTCCAAGAGCCCAGACAAACACGAGGGGATAGAGGGCCCAAGTCCACAGGACCTCACCATTGTAAGGCAAGGCTCTTTATACTACCTACATCAATGTAACATTTCCCATAACCTCCACTTTTCCAGCTGTACTACCTTTGTAAAGACTCTGCTGCATAATGTAGATGTACCTCATTGAGTTGAAGTAATAATAGGTTCTTTTACAAGCTCAAAAAAATAATTAGTTGGCAAGTCTTGGTCCCTAGTTCCTGGGAAGGAGCTACTCTCTAGATCTTGGAATTTCCCAAGTGACAAGACCATCATTGTTATTCCTGAGATAACCCAGTGGCCCCCAGACAGTTTCAGGATGCAGCAGCCCTGGAGGAAAGGCCGACCATGTAAGAGAAGACAGCTATGTGTCCTACTTCTCTTCTCTGCTTCCAGGGAGGAGTGGATGACTAGAAACTGAATTCAATCGCAGGGCAAGGATACCATCAATTGCACAAAAGTAATAAAGGCCCTGGGCTCCCAGGCTCAGGGTGGCACCACACCTACGTGGCAGCTGGGAAACACGTCCTAAGGACACAGAAACTTCCCCAGCTGGAGCCCTCCCAGACACTGTCCTCCTGGCCTCTTCACTTACTGGTCCCAACTTGCACCTTTTATAATAAAACTGTAACCCTAAGTATACCGCTTTTGTCAGGTGTGTGAATCATCAAGCAAATTACTGAACCAGAGGAGGAGAAGGAACCCCTGGGTTTACAGCCCATTGTTGGGAAGCATGGTCATGTGGGAACTTGGAGCCGAAAGCCTGTGTCTGAACTCAGGAGTGGAGTGCAGGACTCCAGGTCAGAACCACTCATCACTGCACTGCATGCTCAATTTATCTCCTAAGTATCATCCGGCAGTGCTGGGGGCAATTCCCAGTACAGTGCTTAGGGCTCCATGTAGTGACAGGGATGGAGCCCGAGGTTCCCACATGCCCGGCATGTCTTCTCGCCCTCATGGCCATCTCCCAACAGGTGTCCGGTTGTTTTGAAAACAATATCCAACCTTCACTTTCTGAATGACATATACGTGTGTGATTTTTTCAATGTTCCCTCCTCCCCCTAAAAAGAGAAAACCCCTCCCAGGAGTAGTCATCACCACCAGGTCGGGATCCCATTATCTTTAACAGTGGGGGTATGGGGTGAATCAGTACTCACTTTCATGTTCCTCCTGCACCACCAGGTTCACATGGTCCACACAGGCCTGGATGTCGTTCCATGTAATAAATTCATTATTTTCAGCATGTGCCTGCGCTTTCAGTTTCATCAGCTCATCAAGATACCTGTCTCAGGGCCCCCCAAAACATAAGGGTTTTATGAATAACAGAAACAAGAAGACTTGAGAGCAAAGGACCCAAGGATCCAGACAGCCTAGGCACTCCACCCAAACAACACACGCTAGAGACCAGCTGGAGGGCCAAGGAGTTTCCCTAAACCTGGTGAGCAAGTGCAAGACATGCCTCAGTGTGACTGGCCTGCCACATGGCTTCACTCCACGGAAGACCAAGTCTAGAATTAGAGGCAGCAGCCCAAGCAATTGCTCCAATGACAAGAAAGCAAGATGACACCAGCTAATACATATAGGAGTGACAGACCAATAAATCATTTAGCCACTTGCATAAAGTCTTGCATTAGTAAGAGTTATCACTGGGGCTAACACACTAGATGAATGGTTAAGGGGTAGAAAAGGTATAAAAGAAATTGTGTTCAGGATAATGGTGACAGGATAATTGTGGGGCTAGCAGATTTGATACGCCTCTTGGCAGGAAAAAAGATGAAACAGACATCACTAAAAATCGAACTGAAGCAATAGTACAATAGGTAAGGAGTTTGCTTTGCACACAGCCGGCCTGGGTTTAATCCCTGATACCCCATATGGCCCCCCCGAGTACCACCAGATGTGATCCCTGAACTCAGAGCCAGGAGTAAGCCCTGAGCACTGCCAAGTGTAGCTCAAAACAACTCTTTAATGTTGAACTGAGTCTCAACCAGCTAATTTTCATTGTACAGAAGAAACCAAATATAAGAAGCAACCTGGACCAGAAGATGAACTATCAATAAAACTAGTGTTTCCAATTTTTTACAGGTCAGCTTCCAGAAAGAGATGATTCTAGATTTAAGATGCCTAAAGGACAAAATAGTAAGCAACAGAGAGTCCTAGACTGGGTCCTGGTTAGAGGAAACCGCTGGGAAAGGGACTTTTTTGGGAACCATTGGGGAAGCATAGGAAGGGGCGAGGTTTAGAGGGTATTGGAGAAGGGATGCTGCTGTGTCCAGGCACAGGCTAGTGGACAGTTATTTAGCAAGTCGCCACATGAGTTTAACAAGCATCCTTGTGCACTGTGAAGTGGGATGTCCCAATATCTAAGTCACTAAAAATCCTTCATGTAATTAAGAATGAATTGAATCGAGAGAAAGAAAGGTTCTATGAAAGTCCCAATGCCCATGATGGAACCTGGGGAGAAAGGTAGCCCAGAGGTCCCACCCACCTCTGACTATTCTCCTCTTCAATGTTGGTGAGGCCTGTCACCGAATTGCTCAGCTGTTTCCACACTGTGTTCATGTCTCCAGACTCCAGTGCCCTGTTGATGAGGGCCACCGAGGACAGCATCTCCACTGCCACGGAGAGCTCAGGATGGGTGAGACTATGCTGTAGGGAGGAGACACATGACAGAGCATGGGAGGTTACGCATTCAATCAAGCCTTAGGGACACATTTCCTATGAGGGAAAAAAAAAAGGTGGAGGCAAGAGACACAGGGCAGTGAGGAGCATGCTTGACTTGCAGATGGCCGGACCAGGTTCAATTCCTGGTATCCCATATGTCCCAAGCACTGCCAGAAAGTGAGCATTCAATTCCCTCTTGCTTTGTACAATAAGCAGGTGGGGCTCACTCACTTCAGGGCTCTGCTGTTGCAGTGTGGCCAGCTCCTTCTGGTAGAGCTCAGCAGCGAATGGGTACACCTGTGGCAGCTGGGCTTCAGGGTTCATAAGCTCCAGAACAGTCTTTTCAGCAGCCCCCTTCTGGATGGCAGCATTGATTGCTGCCACTGCAGCCAGTCCTGGCAGGAAGCAGGAGGTCAGCAATGCAATTGTCTTAGAATTGCCTTTCAGAAAGGAAAGTCGTGCCCTGCAGGAAACTGTCAGCCTGATGCTAATCTGAGACTCATCTCTGGAAAGCAGCCTCCAGTGGGCACGTGAGCTGTCTCTCTATGACTGCTTATGGTCTGGGGAGAGCTGAAAGGGCTGGGCCCCAGGCTCAGTCCCCAACACAGCCAGATGCGGCCCCAAAAAACAACTAGCTGGTGAAGAAAGCAGTCTCCTGCTCTCCCCGTTGCCCCAATCTACTCTGTAGCCACCACCTTCGCCTCTTCCAGGAGGCCCAAAGCACCAGTTTCTTGAGCTTCTCAAGTTTTTTTCCTACACAACTCAGCTGCAAACAGTCAAGAAAGTCTTGCTGTGCCTCTGTTTAGTACTTCTTTTTTCTTTTCCCTCTCATGCCCTGGATTAGGAGCCACCCTTCCTCATCTCTCTCTGCAGCCAAATCTGCCAACTGACCTGATTCTCACCTCCTCCGATTTCTCTACTCCACCCATGCCTTCACTGTTGTAAAATGGGTGATCAGGGAGGCCCTACTGTCGCCAAAGAGACCTCATAGTTGGTGAGAGCCAATGGGCTCGAGGTGGAGTGAGGGGTGATCAGCCTAGTCTCAGACGTCCAGAAACACAGAGCCACTCTCCTCCCCTACATAGATTCCAGTGGCCCTCAGCAGAAATCTCTTACTTCTCTGATACTGCTGGGCACTGAGGTTTGCAGCCTCCACTCCAGTCTGCAGCTCCTCCTTCTGCAGGGGATCAGCCTGGCCTCCCTGAGAAAAGCAAAGAACATGATGAAAAAAAATGGCTGCCCGTGGCCCCAGGCTTGCCTCTTATCTCAATCTGAGAGGCGGTTCATTGGGAGAGGGCCACTGGGCGGTCACAGCAGCCCTGGTGAGAGAAAAAAAAAAACCCTGTAAGTTGAGGGTAGAATGACTTTCCAGATACTGGTCCAATAGAAAAATGTTTTGTGCAAGATAAAATGTTTGTGAAATCATAAGCACATTCACACTGCTCACTTTGTCAATTCCCACATGCTGGAAATTTGTAAAATGTATAAGTGCCCTTAGATAAAAAAACAAAGTTTCTTTTATATGTCCTAAAAACCCCCACATGAGAATGATGTCACAGACTGCCTTCACCGTAAAGCACATAATTACTCAGTGTGGGCCAAGGGACCCAGTGGAGCCCAGTGTGTTTTAACTTATTCTTACTCCTAGAGTAAGAAGGTCCAAAAGGGGGCTGGAGAGAGAGCACAGCGGGTAGGGCATTTGCCTTGCACGAGGTCAATCCGGGTTCAAGTCCCACCATCCCATATGGTCCCCTGAGCACCACCTGGAGTAACTCCTGAGTGCAGAACCAGGAGTAACCCCTGTGCATCGCCGGGTGTGACCCCCCCCCCAAAAAAAAAGAAGGTCCAAAAGTGCAGTTTTTTACAGAAGCTTCCATCAGGCAGTAAGGGGTGTACATGGAAGCCCATGCAATGCACACTCTATCTGAGGATAGCTAAAAACCCAATCAGTGGGCCAGAGAGATAGTCCAGTGGCTGGGCACTGGCCTCGCAGGCAACCGACCCAAGTTCAATCCAGCTCCACATATGGTTCCTTGAGCACCACAAGGAGTGATCCCTATGCTTAGAGCCATGTAAATCATCTGGTGTAGCCAGGTGTGGGCCATCCTTACATCCCCCTCCTCCCTGACGCGCCCATGGCTCACCTGTTGCTTCTGCTTCCGGTCGCTGAGAAGCTGTTTCAGGTACCAGTCCCCATTCTGCTGCTGCAGCCCCCGCAGGCCCAGGGCCGGGGACTGCAGAGCCCTCAGCAAGGCTGGCGCAACTTCCTGATCTAAAGCCTGGTCCACGTTTGCAACTGCAGAGACAGCTGAGGAGGGGAAAGGCAAGAGCTTCAGAAAAACCAAAGCTAACCTTACAGCTCGGGCTATTTCTCTTTTGCCAAACCATGCCAATCTTGGTTTCAGATTAGAGACATAATACAGACAGCCTTTTTTTCTGGAGTCCCCCAGAAACATGTACTGGATTTGCAAATGCACCTTATATCACCGAGCCCAGGGGCTTCCCGTCAGGCCACTGGCCAGACTGCACTGATCACCCAGACCTACTTCCACACTTCCAGAGGCAGAGCTGTAAAGATGGCTCACAGGCTCCTAGCATGCAGGAGCCCTTGGTTCGATCCCAGATGACGCGAGCACCACTGAGAGCAGAAAGCATCCCCTCAGGAAAAAAACACACCTGTGACTAATTCTGTCAAAAGCAGTGACAGATCTCATCTGGAGGGGGCACACTCCTAAGCAGAGAGTCTGATGACCCCCCAAACCACCCTGGACTACCACTCTGAGTGCCCTCATTACCCTGGCACCTCCTGAATGACCCCAGCTCCCCCACCCCCTCTGCTGTGCAGATGCCTGGGGGTTTTGGGCTCCTGAGTCCCTATCTCAGTAGAGAAGCAGGGCGACAGGCCAGAGCGACAGGCCAGAGGTTGCAGTGCATGCTTCACACATGAAAAGTTCACCTCCAGCAACACGTCAGGAAGAACCTCTGAGAAAAGAACCAAAGTCACACCAGGTTCTCAAGTAAGTACTGACGCTGTGAAAATCCAAGTGTTCCTTCATCTGAAAATGAGGAGACACACTCCTCACAGGGTGACTGTTCAGATAAAATGCAATCATGCACGCAGAAGCATTTTGCTGAACAAGGTATAAGGATGAAAGTCAGAATAAGGAGTTTTTAATTCCAAAAATAATAGCCACTGATGAATCAGTATATTATTTTCTGTTTTCCTCATTTATCTTTTTATTTGTAGAATTATCTAGATTCCTAAGAGACTGTTCACTTCCTCCCAACCACTAATCTCCACACCACTATGACTACTGAGTCACAGTGAAAGATGATCAGGACCCGTGACCAGCTAACCATCCATCCCTCCCACAACATTCACCATCTGATGCAGGCCGCAGACAAAACAGACCAAGAGCTCCATCCTCATGGAGCTTCTGCATGATGGGAGACAGAGAAATAAGCTAATACAAGAAACAAAGAGGCTTCCTGGGGCTGGAGCGATAGCACAGAGGGTAGGGTGTTTGCCTTGCATGCGGCCAACCCGGGTTCAATTCCCAGCATCCCATATGGTCCCCTGAGTACCGCCAGGAATAATTCCTGAGTGCAAAGTCAGTAGTAACCCCTATGCATCCTCAGGTATGATCCAAAAAGAAAAAAAAAAAAGAGGCTTCCTCCAGGCTTCAATGCAGAGCTTCAGACCAGCAAACATAAAGTCACCAGTGTCCAACAACACAGAGCTTTCTTAAGAGGCCTGTACTAATACCAGGGTCTGAACGGACATGGGAGAAAATTAGGCAGATGGGCTTTCTGAGGGCGATGTCTGCAGAAAGAACACCATTAGACTAGGGCCTGGACTTTGGCAAATAATAAGGAACAAGTGCAGGTGCCTGTGACAAGTGGTTCTGCCACTGTTTCTACCAGCACAGTCAGCAAAGAGGTGCAAACCCTGACAACAAAACTTTCAAGAAATTAGTTTCTCTAAGGTATATATACATATACATAAAAACAAAGAGAGGGGTCCATGTTTGACTATTCCATCTTGGGACTGGAGAGATAGTACAGAGAGTAGGGCACTTGCCTTGCCCACAGCCAACCCAGGTTCAATCCTCAGCATTTAGGGTACTCTGAGCACCCGCTAGGAGTAATTCCTGAGTGCAGAGCCAGGAGTAAGCCCTGAGCACCACACAGTTGGCCCCAAGACAAACCAAAAGAAGATTGGCTCTTCTTGTCGGGACCTAAGTTTTATTTGCTTATTCTGAATTTGTATTACTCTATGAATAATAAAACAAAGTACAAAATTATTCTGAAAACAGGAACAGAAGAACCTGAGGGTGCACCTGAAGAGTGCAGTGCCTTAGGATGCTGCCCCGCATATGAGACTGTGAGTTCAGCCTCAGAGCTGTCACATGCACTGAGTGTGATACTGACCGCTCTGCTGCCTGTGACCCGTGGTGCTGCCATGGTTTCTACCAGCACAGTCAGCAAAGAGGTGCAAACCCTGATGAGAACCAATGACAGAAGCATGAGCCCTGGGGCGCACTAGAACAATCATCCTCACAAAATGACACAAGCCACAATGAGCACAGTCTTTTGTGTGGCTCCTGGCTAGCACCATAACCAAGATGTCTGTGTGCACCACAGCCAGACATATGCGCATGTACAAGCCCCACCATGGAAGAGAAGGGGAAATAAGAGGAAAAAAAGTCCCAGTTCAGGAGGCTCAACTCAGGGACACACTTACTGTTGACTTTGTTTATGTTGCCCTGGATCTCCGCCTGAGTGAGCAGCTCCTCGTAAACATCTCTTTCCCGATCCGAGTTTTCTGTCTGAGGATGAGTAAAAGTGAAATCGTTATCTCTGGACTCTTAAGAAGATCACAGCAAGGCTTATGCTCCTCCCCAAGTATAGAACCAAGAGAATGCAAACCCTTCCAGAGATGACAGCAGACACCACACAACCACATACACGCCAACACAAGAGGCAGGTCTGGAGGCCTTTCCTACCTCATGGCGCTTCCTGGCGAGCAGAGCTAGTGTGCCCATAGCCGCACTCGGGCCTGGTGTGGTGGCTGCTACTTTGCCTGGGGGGCCAGAGGTCTGCTCTAACATCAGTGCTACTTCCGTCTCCTCATCTGACTGCACCCCACAACTGTGACAGTTCAACCACTAACTTGGACAAAAACTGAGTCTTGTGTGAAGTCTTACTTATTTGTCTGTTATTTGAGCCAACCCGGCAGTGCGCAGGGCTTACTCTATTGCAACTAGAAAATGTAAGCTCTAGTGATAAGAATGGCAATTTCCTGGGGTCAGGGGCAGAATATGGAGAGCAGTAACAAGACAACTAGAGGGGACATGGGAACTGAGGTGGTGATGGTCCCATTAACAAACACACTTGTCAAAACTCATCAAACTACACTTAAAATACATGAATCTTATTGTTCGTAACTTTTAAAATGAAGCCATATTGAAAAATAAAAGAATATAAATCGGGGGCTGGAGCGATAGCACAGCGGGCAGGGCATTTGCCTTGCATGTGGCCGACCCGGGTTTGATTCCTAACATCCCATATGGTCCCCTGACCACCGCCAGGAGTAAAGTGATTCCTGAGTGCAGAGCCAGGAGTAATCCCTGTGCATAGCCGGGTGTGACCCAAAAAGAAAATATACACACACACACACACACACACACACACACACACACACACATATATATATATAAATCAAATAGAGATAACTGGTTCTTCTTATTTACCCTGTTTTTAGCATTTGTCATTTTGTCCTGCTTGGCCTGGTAAAGTACATCCTGGTAAGTGGAAGCCAAAACCTCCTCAAGATTCACAAGCATGGCATTGGGGTTCCTCAGAGCTGTAAATGTGTCTGCAGGGATTCTCCGGTCCACAGCTTCGTTAATCGCGATAACGGCAGCATGCACTGAAGGCAAAAAGAGGATACAGGGTGAATACAGGTTGAAGGCACAACGCAACCCTCCTGCCCAAGAGATGTACCACTTTCACATGGAAATGATGCCAGGCTGGGGCTGAGGGAATGGCTCCCTGGGTCATTAGATTCTCACAGGGAAATAATCGCAAGATCCTTGGGAAGAGCATTTGTTACAGAAATACTCATTATTCTTGATCTTTCTCTAAATACCATAAGGAAATAAGCAATACAAAGAAGCAGTGAAACTGAAATCAATCACTTATTCCAAATGACAATAACATAGAGAACTAATAAAGCAGTGTCTCAAATTGCATCTACTAACCCGACTACTAAGAAAATTCCTAGTGTTCAGAACCATCCTCACAGCATTCATTATGGAAAGAAGTTGCAACTATCCCATTTGAACCCACAAAATCTTTCTTCTTACATGCAGCTTCATCCACTGAGAGTTCATTAGCAAGGATGCCCCCAATCTTGCTGAAGGCAGGCATCTGGATCCCATACTTCTCCAACTCAATCTTCATGTTATTGATTTCTTCTTCTACAAGAAGGATGAAGATCTGGTCAAGCAATGTAAACTCCTTTCCACAATTCAGAGAAAGAAACAGATTTCTCAAACAAGTGATATTGACCCCGAATTATGATAGGATTTATGGAACTTAACACAGTTATCAATAATGTCAACAGATATTAACCATTTTGCTGCTAAGAAGAGGATAAGGAATAACACAGAAATCCCCACAGGAAATAAGATTATGGAACTGTTGCTATTATAGCATTTCCTCCAAGAACTTAAGAATGGACATTGCTCAGGGATGACTCCTAGCTCTGAGTTCAGGGATCTCTCCTGGCAAGGCTCAGGGAACCATATGTGGTGCCAGAAATCGAGCCTGGGATATCAGTTTGCAAGCGAAGCACCTTACCCAGTGTACTATCACTCTGGCCCTAAATTGAGCAGCTCTAAAGGGAGTTCAGTGAGAAGTGAACCAGAAGCCACTAAGTTATCTCAGTCCTTATAATCCCAACTTCCAGTTATGACATAGTTTCATTACTAAGGCAGGAAGCCAAATGATAAGGAAAACTACATGTAAGGCTTGGCCCTTGCCCCAGGGCTGAAGGACAACTTCCCTGGAAAGAAAAATACCATAGATAAAAATGTATTACTAATTTTTTTAAGTCCCAGGTTTACAAAGGACTGGCTGGTTCAAAAGATTTGCATCTCTCTTACCCCAACCCACATTACCACTGTTCTTTTCCTCCCAAGCTGTCATCTCTTCAAGAATCTGACACACAGGGGCTGGAGCGATAGCACAGTAGGTAGGGCGTTTGCCATGCATGCAAGGCATACCGGGGTTCGGCCCCCAACATCCCATATGGTCCCCTGAGCACTGCCAGGAGTAATTCCTGAGGGCAGAGCCAGGAGTAACCTGTGATTGCCGGGTGTGACCCAAAAAGGAGGAAGAAAAAAAAAAAGAATCTGACACAAAGAAATGAACTCCCAAATTCACTAAATTTTAGAATGAACGAAACTGTCATTTGCACTATAGCCCTCATTTTGCTTTGCCCTTAACAGGTGTTTTGGAAAGAAAAGTGAAAAACTGCTATGAAGTTGTTTTTTTTTTTTAAGAGCTAAAACTTTAATAGGAAAAATAAGTATAAATCTTTCTGACTTGAGTTTTACAAAAGTTTCAAAGATAGAATATCGAAAGTACAAGCACACAAAAAAGTACATTGGATTTCATCAAAATTAAAAACTTATGTGCTTCACAGGAAACCATAATGACAGTAAAAAGACAGGGATTGGAGGAAAACTGCTTCAAAACTTATATTTGATGAAAGATTTGTATCTAATATCTATAAAGAACCCTTATAATTCAACAATAAATGACAAATAATGCAGTTAAAAATTGAACATAAATAAAAACTACTCCAAAACACAAGCAAAAAATGTCATTAAACTCATAAAAAGAAGTCCGAAATCTCTTGTGATCAGGGAAATGTAAATCAAAACTATAAAAAGTGCTATGAAGTTTTTTTGTTTTTTACCTAACCCAAACATCTAAAGACAGATGTCAATATCACATTGCAAAAATTGTTCCATCTATTTAAAAGTATCAGTTATTTAGTTGGCATTAATTTTTGTTTGTTTGGGGGCTACACCAAGCAGTGCTCAGGATTACTCCTAGCTCTGCATGCAGGGCTCACTCCTGGCAAGGCTCAGGAGACCATATGGAGTGTCAGGGATTGAACCGAGATCAGCTACATGCAAGGCAAGCACTATACTGGTTCTACTATCTCTCTGGCCCCATAAATTGTATTACTAATGTCTATTTGGTTACTGAGGGCTGGGGCTGGAGTGATGGCACAGCGGATTTGGGCATTTGCCTTGCACGCGGTTGACCCGAGTTCAATTCCTCTGTCCCTCTTGGAGAGGCTCTTCACACGCTACCTGTCTGAATGCAAGGTTCCATCCCAATGGAAAACCAGCAGGACTGTACTACTATACAAGAAGGGAGACATCCACGACATTGGCAACTATCGCCCAATCTGCCTATTGTCTGTCGTCTACAAACTGTTCACTTGAGTCATCCTGAATAGGATTAGCAGAACACTAGAAGAAGGACAACCATGTGAACAAGCTGGATTCCGAAAAGGATTCAGTACCATCGACCATATCCACACAATAACCAAGCTCATTGAGGTATCTCGGGAGTTCAAGATGCTGCTCTGTCTAACGTTCATTGATTTAAAGAAGACCTTTGATTCTGTTGAGACGGAAGCGGTCATGGAAGCCCTAGTCAATCAGGGCGTACAAACTCAATACATCAGGATCCTTCGTGAGCTCTATTGCGGATTCACTACCAAGATCTCACCATTCTACAAAGAAGTAATCATCCATATCAAGAGAGGGGTTCGGCAGGGTGATACCATTTCACCAAAACTCTTCAGTGCCACCCTCGAGAACATCATGCGACGACTGGAATGGGAAAGCATGGGAGTGAAGATAGATGGTCGGCAACTACACCACCTCCGCTTTGCTGATGACATCATTCTAATAACACCAAACATCAGTCAAGCGGCACAAATGCTGAACGACTTTGACCGTGAATGTGGAAAGGTCGGACTACAGCTGAATCTTGCGAAGACAATGTTTATGAGAAACAGCCTTGTTCCTGACGCTCCATTCGCTCTCAACAGAACCACCATCTCCGAATGCAACAGTTATATATAACTAGGTCGAGAAATCAACATGATGAATGACCTGGCACCTGAGTTGCGCAGGAGGAAGAGAGCGGCTTGGAATGCCTTCAAGAACGTTGAAGAAATAACTAAAAGGACAAAGAACCTCCAGCTACGAGCACATCTCTTTGGTTCCACTGTTCTTCCTGCATTAACATATGCCTCAGAGACTTGGACCCTACGAAAACAGGATGAGAACGCTATTCGGGTCTCTCAAAGAGGAATCGAAAGAGCTATGCTTGGAATATTACGAATCACTCAAATGAGAGATAGAATCCGGAGTTCTGATCTTCGTCAACGCTCAAGAATCAGGGACGCTGTCTCATTTGCCAAGACATCAAAAATCAGATGGGCTGGACATATAATGAGGTTTATAGACAACCGCTGGACTAGAGCCATTACTGATTGGATTCCATGGGACATCAAAAGATCACGTGGACGCCCACCTACAAGATGGTCAGACTTCTTTGTCAAGACCCTGAATGATCGGTTTGAGGCTCTGCATGTTCCTAGAACGAACAGATACCATTGGGCTACGCTAGCACACAACAGGGATGAATGGAGACGTTACTGGCACCCGCTCGAGTAAATCGATGAATAACGGGGATTAAGTGATTAAGATTAAGTGAATGTTTATTTGGTTACTGGGGCTGGAGTGATGGCACAGCGGGTTTGGGCAAATGCCTTGCACGCAGTTGACCCGAGTTCAATTCCTCTGTCCCTTTTGGAGAGCTCAGCAAGCTACAGAGAGTATCTCGCCTGCACAGCAAAGCCTGGCAAGCTCCCCATGGTGTATTCAATATGCCAAAAACAGTAACAGCAAGTCTCACAATAGACATGTCACTGGTGCCCGCTCAAGCAAATCGATGAACGAGAGGACAGTGCTTGGGTTACTGTATCTCGTCTATGTTAATATCATTTGATATCATTAATATCATTCCCAAATGAATTAAGAAAACTAAGGTTCCCCCAGTTTGTGGGTTATCACACCCATGACTTAATAGGGAGATGAAAACCGGGAATGCCAAGTTTGGTGTTCCTCCTACCATACCTCCACAAACAAGTTATTCACTCTGCTACAGGAGTACTTCTTTGTTTTTAATATTTTATTAAGATAAACTATTATTTGGGATTTTTTTTTGCCTCCAGCACTGTGTTCAGGCATCCCTGGAGCTATTCTCATGACACTGGACAGACTGTGTGGTGCTGTTCCCCACAGCACTGGACGACCAGGCTCACAGTCACCAGTACTGGGGTCATCACAGCTACTACACACAAACGACAGTGCTGGGCAGAGGGAGGAACTATGTGGTCTCAGAGCTTAGCACAAACAAGCACGTGCTGAACCCTCTGAGCAATGGAAAGCCCTGCCTAGCAAGTGCAGGGTCTGGTCTGATGGGAGAGTGTCTCCCAGGGTGCAGAGGCTTCAGGCTATTTCCACATAAATTAAGCATTGATTGCGAAATGTTACCTGTAAAGTCAACCTTTCCGTACAAGTCTTGAATCTGAGGAGCCAGGCCCAGTTTGAACAGGTACAAACTAGAAGACACAAGATGCCAAAGAGTTAGTCCTCCCAGCTGCCCCTTGCTGGTGCTCTTAACAAGGAGGCAATCAACATAAAGCACCAATGTATTCCATACAGATTCCCAGCTCCCCACCACACTTCCCTTGGAATTACCACACTTGATCTTGGAGTTTTTTGAGTTTCTTTTCTTCCTTCCTTTTTTTTTTGTTGTTGTTGATTTGGGGCCACACCTAGTGGTGCTCAGGGGTTACTACTGTCTCTGCACTCAGGAATCACTTCTGGCAGTGCTCAAGGAAGGATCATATAGGGTGCCAGGCATAGAACCCAGTTCAGCCATGTGAAAGGAAAAGCTCTCTCCCCTGTACTATCTCCCAGGCCTGCCTTTTTGAGTTTTATATAATATAATCCTAAAGAGTCACCTATTACAATGCAAAATGCACTGGCCTGGAATCAAGAGAAAACAGGCCAAGGCCAGCTCTAGCACAAACTCAATGTGTGATGATAAAAAAAACAGTCTCTCTACTTCCACTTATCTTCCTGTGATCAATGAATTTTAGGCAATAAAAATATTTTAGAAAAGGCTCATAAAGTCTCACACAGTAATTATGTGAAACATAATTGTGAAATACAATTATTTTATACCAATCAAATAAAAACATATTACCAATTAAACAGGTTAGTTCGGATAATTTAAGAGCTTTTATTTATTTTGGTTTTGGGGATACACCTGGCATGCTCAGGGGTTACTCCTGATTCTGCACTCAGGAATTACTCCTGGTGGAGCTCCGGGGACCATATGGGGAGCCGGGGATAGAACTGGATCATTCACAAGCAAGGCAAGTACCCGATTGGTGTTGCACTATCGCGCCAGCCTTCCAGCCCCTTATTTATCTATTTATGGATTTATTTATTTATTTATTTATTGGGTTTTGGCCACACCCAGCTGTTCTCAGGGCTTACTCCTGGCTTTGCACTCAGGGATCACTCCTGGGGGGCTCAAGGAACCATATGCAATGCCAGTTTGGAACCTGGGTCAGCTGCCAGCAAGCCAAGCATCTTACCCATGATACTATCTCTCTCTGGCCTTAATTTAAGATTTTAAGTGAAGAATATAAATATTAATCACATTTTCACAATTAAATGAGTAGATGGACATCTATATGTAAACTTGAATTAAGTTAACTGAATTGTAAGGCCTAACAGATCAGAATCAACAAATTAGAAAAGAGAGCCGGAGCAATAGTACAGGAGATAAGGTGCCTGCATGCTCTGAATTTGGTTAAAATCCCAGCACCACAGAGTCCCCTGAGCACCACCAGGGGCCACTCCTGAGGCAGAGCCAGGAACTGCCCCAAACCCTGCTGTATATATGGACCAAACTATTCTGAAGAAAAAAAATTAGAAAAATTTAAACAGTACTTTTAGGGATAGACATAATCAAGACACACAGACTAGCAGTAAGGAAACAATAAGTTATCCACATAACTAATTAGAACCTAAATTGTATATATTAAATCAAAAGGCATAGTCTAAAAAATTAAATATTCTGGAAGCACATTTGAATTTATACATCCACAGTGCCAAACATATTCTCAAATGAAATAGGATAAGCCATACGCTTTGATGATGCATGTTTCCTTAGAATAAAATGCTCAAGAGAGAACTATAACATTTTTCTCTTAGATTTAAATATTCAATAGTTTCCAACGAATAGGAAGTAAGTTCTCATACATGTAAAATATTTCCTTATATATTTTTCCCAATTCATAAAAATACTTTTCTTCAGGAATTTCCTCTTTTATTTCTACTTTAAAACAGAAATGTGGCTGCCATACTTCAAGAAAAATATCAGAAAATGTCCCTTTCACAGATGGCCCAAGAGCCGGCTTTAATCACTTTTCCTGGCCAGGAAAGGTGCTATAGGGATGGCACTAGCTGAATGAAAGCACAGGAGAGGGTTGGATAGTACAGAAGATAAAGTGCTTGTCTTGCACCTGACTGACCCAGTTCGGTCCCTGATATCCCATATGCTACCTCAAGTACAACCAGGAGTGATTCCTGAGTGTAGCACCAGAAGTAACTGCCTAAACATCCTGCAATGTGATTCAAAAACTTACAAGAACAGAGGGAGCTGGAGCAACAGTACACTGGGGAGGGTGTTTGCCTTGTATGCAGCCAACCTGGGTTCAATCCCCAGCATACTATATGGTCCCCTAAGCACCTCCAATAGTTCCTGAGTGCAGAGCCAGGAGTAACCGCAGAGCAATGCTGGGTGTGACCCAAAAAGCAAAAACTAAGTAAGTAAATATATTTAAAAAAAAAAAAGTAGAGGAGAAAGTCCATCCTGTCTGGGGCCCTTTTTCTTTTTAATCTTATTTTCGTTACTAGGAATGCTAGAACTATAAATAAAATATAATGACCTCTTTGACATCCTACCCAGACTCAACAGCTGAAATTTAGAAACTCGAACAGTAAGCATCACTTTCCAACCTTCGTTCCTGTATCTCATCCAAGCTTATTTACAAATAAGTTCCTGGGTACCTATCAGAGGCTGTAATTGAACTCAGATTTCTTTCTCTTCTCCTTTTCCCTATTTAAGTTGTACTTATAAAAGAAAGTTTTCTCAGTCTGTTTGGACTCCAGTTATCTTTGCTGAGTAGCAGCTTAAAAGAAACCACAATACCAATAGGGAAGTTTATTAATAAAGGCTGTTAAACACAGCTGACCAGGTACACGTCCAAAGTTACTTATCTGAATTCCCTAGTGCTAGAGATAACATAGGATTTCTCAGATAATAGAAGAACTTTACAATATAAACAGTATTTAAAACATTTCTTGGGACTCAGTCTCCGCTCTTCGCATCATAGCCTACAATGTGTACTTCATCTCTCTTTTAATCCTTACATTTTTCAAAATAAAGTTATCTTGCTTCAAAACATTTTAAATAAAGTTACTTTTAAGCATTAAATAAAATTTCTTGGGGAAATAAAATGCACTACTCTTCTGCAGAAAAAAAAATGCATGGTTATATAAAATATTTTAAGTAACCTCAATTCATCCTCCTCAGATATCAGATTTATTGGGGGTGTGTGGCACATATGTCAATGCTCAGGGGTTACTCCTGGCTTTGCACTCAGGAACTACTCCTGGCAGTGCTCAGGAGACCTAGGGGATGCCAAGGATTGAATCTGGGTCAGCCACGTGCATAGCAAGGCTTATCTGACATACTATCGATCGGCTCCCCCACCCTCATCAGATTTTGCCAATAAATGAGTTTTAAATAAAATAAGACTCAGTTTTCAGAGATTTCAGGGCTCTTCTGAAATGAAGATAAAGTACCATGAGCCAAATCAGTTCTTCAATAAAACGTCCCAGGAATGGAATAATGGAAGGTTAGGGGGTCTCATCAGTGTAATCTCTGAGTAATTTAATATGACTAAAGAACTCTAGAATGATGTCAGTCAAGATGTCTTCAAAAGACAGGAAAGGAGGAAATGAGGCAATAATGCCTGTCTGCACTGTGGTTCCAAAAGGGAACCTGTCTCACCCAGTTCAGTGTGATAAAGAGCTGCCTTGAGCACTGACGGTAAAGGAGAGGCTCAAACAATTACAAATACTTCCTGCATGTTGTCACGTGTTGCCAACTCACCCTTCCAAAAGCCCCTCAAGAGAGGAAAGAAATCATAAGCCACCCACCAGAACACCTGGTTCTGTCCATACTTTCTAAGCATGAACTCAGCAATAGCTGACTTCTTGGATAATTGCTGGCTTCTTTCCTTTCCCACTCAAACCTTCACTGGATGACACTTAGTCCTTCACCTCTCCTGGAGACCCAGGCTACACTGCAGAGCAGTGGCTACATGAAGAGCAGAGGAACCTGCCAGTCAAGTTCAGGTGCCCATCATGAGGCTCAGCTTCAGGAGGCGATCAACACAGACAGATCTCAAGGAACTTTAAGCCAAGCACAATACTCAGAATTAATCTGATTTTGGCTCTGATACACACCACACACACACACACACACACACACACACACACTCCCCAGCACTGCCAAGAGTAATGCCTGAGTACTACTACCAGGTCTAGTACAAGAACAGCAACAACAAAAAAGTGACTTTTGTAACTCAGCTCATAAAAATGAAATGAAATGATAAAAGTTTTCAAATATATATATTACTTTTTTAAAGATCATAATTAAAAAACAAGACTGTATTCCAAGTGAAATATCAAGTTCACAGAAAAACCAAATGAATGACAGAAGATTGTACTCTGCCTCTAGAATAATATTATCTGCTCTTACAGAAATAAATAAATCCCCTTACCCTTCTCTCGCAAAAACACAGCTGTGGGCTGGAGCGATAGCACAGCAGGTAGGGCATTTGCCTTGTGCGCAGCCAACCCGGGTTCGATACCCAGCATCCCATATGGTCCCCTGAGCACCTCCAGGAGTAATTCCTGAGTGCATGAAAACAGGAGTAATCCCTGTGCAATGCCGGGTGTAACCCAAAAAGAAAAAAAAAAAAACCAGCCGTTTCTCATCATTCTGTTATGATAATAGTATCCTATATAAAAATTCTGAAACTGATGCAAAAAAATTGTGACACATGGGCAGAAAGTTACATACTTGACCCAAATCACAGAGCCAACAATACTGAAGGCAGGAGACCCAAACTACAACAGGGTCAGAGAAACAGCACAGCAGGGAGAACACTTGCCTTATATATTGCTGACTCAGGTTCAATCCCCAGCACCCTATAAGGTCTCCTGGGCCCTACCAGGAGTAAGCCCTAAGCACAGCCAGAGGTGACCCAAAAAACAGAGACAAAATCAATCTACAACAACCACATTTTAAAATGGACCTGTAGGGGCTGGAGTGATAGCACAGCAGGTAGGGCGTTTGCCTTGCACGCAGCTGACCCGGGTTCGACTCCCAGCATCCCATATAGTCCCCCTTGAGCACCGTCAGGAGTAATTCCTGAGTGCAGAGCCAGAAGTAACCCCTGAGCATTGCTAGGTGTGACCCAAAAAGGCAATAAATAAATAAATAAATAAATAAAATAAAATGGATCTGTCAAAGAGGTAGTCTGCAGGGACTAGGAGAGCATCTGGAGACACTGGTGGAGGGAAGTTGACACCGGTGGTGGGATTGGTTTCCAGTCATTAAATACCAGAAACTCAGCTATAAATAACTTTGGAAATAATTTAATAAAAGTTAATTTTACAAAAGGTATTTAATTGAGATGTTACTCCTAAACTTTTCTTTTGAGGTACAACTGACAGAGAAAATTAAACTAGTTGGGGCTGGAGCGATAGTACAGCAGGGTAGGGTGTTTGCCTTGTACACGGCTGACCCGGGTTTGATTCCCAGCATCCCATATGGTCCCCCGAGCACCACCAGTAGTAATTCCCGAGTGCAGAGCCAAGAGTAACCCCTGAGCATTGCCAGTTGTGACCCGAAAAGAAAATTAAACTAGTTTCAGGTTTACAAAATAATGGTTCCCTATATGTATAAATTGTACAATCACTGCCACAGCAAAGTCTAAATTGTAGTTCAACCTTTTTCTCCATGCTGACGAGCATTGGTCCCAAAGACAAGCAGTTGAAAAACAATGGTCTAGTTACTACCATCACTACAGACATTTTTTCTAATAATGGGAACGTTTACCATTTACCCTCTTAGCGACTTTCAAATATCAATACAGTTGTATTAACTATAGTCTCCAGGTACTCCACAACACCCCCAGGACTTAGTTTATACCTTCTGACTTTCTCCCACTTCATCTTCATCACCCCCCTCACCCTCTATCTCTGGCAACCTCTCATTTGCTCAGTGTGTCTTTATTACTTAATCCTAGTAAGTAGTTAATCTATATTAATGAATTCTATTAAGAAGACACGATTACCTGAGTGCATGAATACAGTAGATGCATCTAGGCATGTTCTTCCTATCATAGATATCTGTAGTTTCCGGGTAAAAAATCTAAGGAGAAATGAAAGCAACAGAATTAGGTACCCATCCACAGGGTGCATTTGATCATTCATCAATCACAATTCAGATGAACCTCTGGCCTTGGCATTTGGCAAATAACTGCATTCGGGCGGCACTAGTACTGCAGCAGTTTCTGTTTAATTCTACTGAAGCATCTAACATGTAGTGCTTAGTAATTTGATTGTTTGTTTGGGGCAATACCTGGCAGTGCTCAGGGCTTATTACCCTGGCTCAACACTCAGGGACCATGCCTAGCAGGTCAGCTGTGTGCAAGACAATTGCCTTAACTGCTGTACTATCTCTCCAGCTCCTCTAAGGTTTATTTTATAGGAAAGAATCTTCAAAATAATCAAAATCAAGAGAATGCAGCTAGAATGAGGGTAGAACATCCATCAGAAAAGCCTACACTGGGTACAGAAAGTAGAATGGTTAAAGAAAATAGAGAACTAGTTTGGCAAATTAAAAAGTTTTTGATCAAAGTCACAAAATACTTTACAGAGGAGGAGCCAGTTGTCCAGATATAAAAGAGACTAAAAAAAAATAAATGCACAAAAAATTCTAAGTCTACAACTATACCTCATGGTGTTTCACAAAAAAAAAAAAAGTAAAGCACACACACACACAAAAAGGTAAGAACAACAAAAATTATACCACCTCTATGAACAGCCTCTGTGAACCATATAAGGTAGTTAAACCCAATATGTATACTCTATGCACTGCCAGTTACATCCATATCTTATTATAGTTTTAGGCTAGCACCTTCACCCAAACATCTCCTAGACCTAAACCACGTATAGGAGATACTTTGAGGTCAACAGCCGGGATTGCAACCTTGCTGCCCCAGAGCACCTATGAGAATTTGTGTTTGCTGCAGTGCTGTGTGATCCATGACAATGCATTACTGTTAGTGAACAAGGTATAGTAAGCGTTTAAATCATTAAAAGAGCACTTTGCAGTAACAATACCACTAGCAATTGTTAACAAAGCTCTTAGTACCACTCACACCATAACTATGGTTAACCTGTAGCTGCCCATTGAGAATTGTATGAAAAAATGGGAACAGGAAGTTAAAGTGCACGCACAGACCAAGGAACTATGAGAACTTGATGGACTGCATTTCCTGATGCCTGAACTTCAGCACTTTGCTCTGTAAAAAAGAGGACAACGGCTAGTCTGATGCCAAGACCAAGCTCCAATTTAACTCAGTTCAACAGATACCTGCACAACAGTGAGTTCAGCACTGTGCTTAATTCCAAAGACTCACTTCCAAGTTGTTTTGCGCCTTCTGATACTTCACCCCATCCTCTTCTCTCTCAACTTTCTTTTGTTATACTTACAGGAAAGCACAAAGAAAATAAAAACCACCCCAGAATCCCATCCTATTGCTCCTCATAGATTTCCCCCAAGAATATGTCTTTGATTTTTACACAGAAATAGTGATCTCATCTTGGCCAGAAAACAAGCTCTTACACTCTTTGCTGGCTTTTTGTTTTGCTTTACTTTGTTTTGTGTTTTTTTTTTAGATGAACAATCCACTGATAATTTCCTTTGTTGATTGTTTTATTGACTATCTGAACACAATTAATACCCTTAGGAAAGAATATGGTTTCTTTTTAAAAATTTTTTTGCTTTTTGGGTCACACCCGGCAATGCACAGGGGTTACTCCTGGCTCTGAACTCAGGAATTACTCCTGGTAGTGCTCAGGGGACCATATGGGATGCTGGGAATTGAACCCAGGTCGGCTGCGTGCAAGGCAAATGCCCTACCCGCTGTGCTCCAGCCCCGCAAAGAATATGGTTTACCACCCAGTTTGCTGCTTGGAAAGTCACTTGCAGTGTTCCTGAGGGAACCAAGTGGTGACAGGGACTAAATCTGGGGCTCCTACATGTAAAGCATGTGCTCCAGTCTGTAAGCTATCTCCTTAGCACTAAAAACTTTTTCCCCCTTTTTTTCTTTTTCTATTTTTGGGTCATACCCTGCAGTGCTCAGGGCTTACTCCTGATTCTGCACTAAGGAATCACTCCTAGGGGTGCTCAGGAGACCACCTGGGATGCCGAAGATCAAAGACAAAAGCAAGACAAGCATCCTACCCACTTTACTATCTGAAGATAAATTTTAATACAAGTTTGTGACTAAAAACTAATGAACATTTTTTTCTTAATCAATGAAGTTAATCCTTTAAAATGGTAAATTTCATGGTATATGAACTTGAAGTCTACAACAATACAACAATAGTAATAACACGGAACTTCTCTAATGAAGTGAAGCAGACATATGAGGAACAAAAAGAAAAAGAACAAAACTATTTCCTAAACAATCAGAAGAATTCCTTTATAAATTAAAAAAAAATCCACTAAAATTCAACTGAGACTAATTCCAGAGTTAAAAGCATCACATGATCACTACCTTAGGCAATCCAATATCCTCCATGGCATTCAACCACTGGATCACATTGTCAGTGTGCCTGAAGTGCAGGCCGGTTGCCTGGAACAAACAGAAGATCATTAGGTGCTGCTCATCGTAGCATTATGTTCATACTCTCTGGGAAGGCAAACCTAACCTGATCATCAACCTCTGAAGAACGGTCTGGAAAAACTTCCTGTGTCCCACAGAGCATTTTTGGAAATAGCCTGGCAAGCTACCTAGAGTATCCTGCCCGCACAGCAAAGCCTGGCAAGCTACCCGTGATGTATTCAATATGTCAAAAACAGTAACAACAAGTCTCACAACGGAGACGTTACCGGTGCCCGCTTGAGCAAATCGATGAACAAAGGGAGGACAGTGCTATAGTGCTATTGGCTTGACTCAACTACTGAGGGTACAACTAGTGCTGCACTGTGAGGTCCGATGAGCATTATGTTGTGGAGTCCAAGCACCCCTGCGTCTACTGAACAGTGGGCTCCAGGCAGCTGTTTCTCCTGAACAGTGGGGTCCGGGCAGCGCTGTGTCTACTGAAGAGAGATCTGGGGAGAGCTGTGTCTACTGAACAATGGGTGTGGGCAGAGCTGTGTCTACTGAACAGTAGGGTCCAGGCAGAGCTGTGTCTACTGAACCACTAGTGGGGTTTGGGTAGCTACGTCTACTGAACAGTGGGGTCCGGGCAGCACTGTGTTTACTGAACAGTAGGGTCCGAGCTACACAGTCTACAGAACAGTGGGGTCTGGGCTGTGCTATATTGCTGTTGCCACAGTCTCTCCTCTGCCTTTAACTCCTTAGAGTTGTCTTCAGAATAACTGCTTAGTTTCAGCTCCAATGAGACCCATCATTGTTACTGGTATTTGGCATATTGGGTACGCCAAGGGGAGTTTGCCAGACTCTGCCCTGTGGGCAGGCTACATTCGGTAATCTGCCAGTTTGTTCAAAAATGATGGATCTCATTCTCCTAAAGAGCCTTGAATATAATCTCAGGGCTAGGATGAAGGAGACGTTACTGGGGCCTGCTCGAGGCAATCGACGAATTCAGCTCCAAAGTCCTTTATTAAAATAATTAAAACAATTTCTATTTGGGATGCTAATATTCCCAATATTGGTTTAGACCCTGTAGTTTTTTTCTTTCCTTTGAATTTATACAAAAACTCTCCAGAGGACTGTCTTTGTCCACTCATTCTGAGTTTTGGTCCCAAGCTTACAATCGGTCACTCTTACTTTCACTCTTGGTTTACAAACTTTCACCTCTATCTCTTATATTCATCGTTTTACAAATAAAAGCTTTTAGGAAAGCTCCACAAAGTTTCAACACAGAATTGGTTCCTGTAAACATCCCAACAAAACTAAGCAGTCTTTTCAAGGCCTTTGGCCACAAAAATCAACCCTTCCTCTTACTTCAATTTGTAAAACTGCGATTGGTTAAGATTTCTAAATACACATCATCATAAAAATTCTACCAGTTACACAAACAAATTTCTTATACTGCTGTCATATTGTAACTGGTAGTTTCTCCGCTCTGTCAGACACTTAATTCTGCTGTAACAAACACACACTGTTGACCGTTGAACCGTCTTACACATAGAATCATGATGCTAATAACCTTCTCACAAGCTTACAGAAATATGAGCACCAAGCAGGGCGAGCTCACCTTGTATCTGGTCTGCTCTCGATCATAGATTTTCTTCAGGGATACCACTTTGGGTGAGAAGAAGTTGCCGAGTTTGGCCAGGTAGACGCCGTTCCTTAGCCCCTCCTCCAGCTCCGTGGTTGGAGGCAGATCTTCCCCGAGGCATGCTTCCATCCACCTGCACAGATAGAGGGAATGGGAATTCTTCCTTTAGGTCTCCAGCTTAACTTCCATTCTCTCTAGAGACAATTCAAATACATTTTGTAGATAATCTCAAGATCTAATTTCACACAGAGTCTTGGCCTGGCACCATAAAATCTCAAAGGCAGGCAACTTTTGGGAAAATTCTTAAGCATAAATGCCACCTTCTTCTCTACCCACTTGCCTCTCCTGCCACAACAGAGCCAGCTGGCTCCCCAGATCCTAATGAGCCATGAATGAGGGAACCTCTCTCACCCTCACAGACTCCTAGGAAGCCATCAGCTCAAGTTCAGATGCTTGAATCTGCTGATGTTGTCTTCTGATTTCAGATGTCAAAATTCACAGTGATTTGTTAGGCTCAAGTTTTAAGTTTGTTTGGGGATAGCAGAAATAGTCAATGATCTCAGCTGCAATACTGAAACAGCAAAATAAATTCTTATATGTATTTCAGATGGAGAAAGGTTGTAAAAGAAAATGATTATTTCTACCTCAATCATCTCTCACAGGTTCCGGGGAAGCTCAAGGTAAAACAAAACCAAGTTTATTTGCATATGTTTTCTCTTCATAGAAATACAGGAAACTAAAAATAATTGAGGGCAACAGGTTTTCTTGGGAGTTTTTTTTAGAGGGGGTGTTGGCTTTTTGGGTCACACCTGGTGATGCACAGGGGTTACTCCTGGCTCTGCACTCAGGAATTATTCCTGGCAGTGCTCGGAGAACCCAGATTGAACCCGGGTTGGCTGCGTGCAAGGCAAATGCCCTACCTACTGTACTATAGATCCGGCCCCCATAGGACAACAATTTTTAACCATGTTTGATAAACAGAATTCTTTGATAATTGTCTAAGGAAAGCTACAGTTTCTTCCCCAGGGAGAAAAAAAAGCACTTATAAATTTAATGTATAATTTCGGAGACTTTGTGGACTCAAGATTATTTTATTCAAATTTTACAAAACAAATTTATTTCCTTATATTTTTAACCATACTAGGTAAAACAAAAACAAACCCCAGGGGCTGGAGAGATAGCACAGCGGGTAGGGCGTTTGTCTTACACACGGCTGACCCAGGTTCGATTCCCAGCATCCCTTATGGTCCCCTGAGCACCTTCAGGGGTAATTCCTGAGTGCAGAGCCAGAAGTAACCCCTGCACATCGCCGGGTGTGACCCAAAAAGAAAGAAAAATTAGTTGTTGCCTGTTCTATTTCTCTAGTGATAAATCCTGAAAAACCAAATTTTGGTTTTTAAAAAAACCAAAAAAAAATTTCAAATATACAGCTGCCTGAATTAAAAACAACATTTACTGTCAACTAATACAATATTAAAATAAAACTTTCATAATGTTTCTTGAGGCAAAGAAATTAGGAAGCAAGAGAAATAGTTCTATGGGATGAGCTCAGGTTTCCTTGCAGGAGGCAGGGATTTGAGCCTAAGGCCACAGGGTTGCTGAGCATTGCCAGAAACACCCCCAAGCACAGAGCCACCCTCCCACTTCTCCCCCTGCCAAGCACTACTGGGTGTGGCCCAAACTCCCCCACACCACCACCGATTTTTTAAAAAAGGAAATGAAGCAATTTCCCTGTGTTACTCTACAGATTGGTCAACCTCTCTTTCAAACCTGTTTTCCTAAAAGCTAGTACACTGGAACCTAGAGGTAAATACTGGCTGCAGAGAAGGAGCCAGAACACTCCGGTTATCTTCTGCACCCAATGAGAATAAGTTTTCTCCTCTGACTTCTATAGGGAACAAAACTTAAATGTCAAGAGGAGGGAGAAAAAGACCTTCTGGACAAAAAAATCAGAAAGGCAGTGTGGAAATAATTCCGTCCAAGAGTACATCTCAGGGGCTGGAGCGGGTAGGGCGTTTGCCTTGCATGCAGCCAACCCGAGTTCGATTCCCAGCATCCCATATGGTCCCCTGAGCACCGCCAGGAGTAATTCCTGAGTGCAGAGCCAGGAGTAACCGCTGTGCCTAGCTGGGTGTGACCCAAAAAAGAAAAAAAAAGAATACATCTCACATACTTACCTTTCAAGTATTATTGCTAAGAAGGATGTGCCAAAGAGCTCCTAGCAACACCAGCTCTCGGGGACAGTCTACCATGTGTTCTCACGAAGGGGACAAAATGAGAACAACACTAGGCTGAGTCAAAAATAGTCTTTTACCCAGGTACTGCTATAAAGAGAAAATGACTTTTCTCTTGCAAATGATGTCACCTCTGAGGGGAAACCATAGCTGAAGACAAAGTGGGTGTCTCTGCCTGAGTCACTCAGAGCTCATGAGTGACCAAACTGTTTAGCTTCTCTTTTTGTCTGAGTTACTAGATTAAAAACCAGTATAAGGGGCTCAGAGACGTAGTCTGGAGGCTCCCCAAACACCACTGCGGTGGGTGTGGCAATCCCTGGCAACACAGGGCCTTACAGCACTGCATCCTCAGGTCTGGCTGGTGGAGTATTACCAGAGTGGTGCCCAGCCCCGGAGGATCACTTGGGAGGTCCTCAAAAACATCAAGTGAAGGGCACAGTGGGGAGGGTGCTTGCCTTGCACACTGCCAACCCAGATTTAATCTCTGGCATCCCATATGTTCCCCCAAGCACCACCAGATGTAATTCCTGAGTAGTGAGCCAGGAGTAAACCCTGAGCATCGTCAGGTATGGCCCCAAACAAAACAAAAAAAGTCAAAGTGGTGACCATAGTAATCCTCTCCTACAAGTCTTTGTCTTTGCCTTCCCTTCTGTAAACTGTCCTGATAAATGCCAAGTCTCAGAACTTTCTACTTCACTCACAGAGTCTGTCGATGGGTCGGAGCAATAGTATAGTGGGTAGAGCATTTCTGTGCATAATGCACACCCAGGTTTGGTCCCAGGCATCCCATATGATCCCCTGAGCATTGCCAGGAATAATTCCTGAGTGTAGAGCCAGGAGTACCCCTAAGCATTGCCCTGTTTTTGACCCAAAAAGTAGAAAGAAAGAAAGAAAGAAAGAAAGAAAGAAAGAAAGAAAGAAAGAAAGAGGGGCTAGAGCGATAGCACAGCAGGTAGGGTGTTTGCCTTGCATGCAGCCAACATGGCTGACACAGGTTCGATTCCCAGCATCCCATATGGTCCCCTGGGCACCGCCAGGAGTGATTCCTGAGTGCATGAGCCAGGAGTGACCCTGAGCATCGCCGGGTATGACCCAAAAAGAAAAAAAAATTGACTTAAAAAAAAGAAAGAGTCCATTAAAAAGTTGATGTGATGTGGTGAAAGGGAGAAGCTGGGCGAGGGAGAACAGAAAAATCAAACAGAAACAGCACTGTCTGACGAACCTAAAGCCCATGCCCCATGGCCACATACGCTGCATACTGCATATCATCTATGTTCTAATGTGCTGTGTACTGCATATACACATACTGCATACTGCATACTCTGCATGTGCTGAGTATTGCATGTACACACACTGCATGCTGCCTCCTTCAAATATAATTAACAGCTGCCAGGACTGAAACTCCAGAACCAGAGCATCCCACACAAGGCATGATTAATGACCTTTATTAGCCACCCAAACTACTAGCACTAAGTATCAAATGTTGGGAGGAGGGCTGGGTGTATGGCTCAGTGGTGGGGAAAGTGAATGCCTTGCAAGTGGGAGACTCTTGGCTTGATCTCAGCACTGAAGAAAGTAAAACGAAAAACTTACAAACACCTGTGAAGTTGAACATCATTAGTGCAAAAAAATGACTACCTACATAAGAGTCTGTCTTTAATATACAATACTGTTTATGTTACAATGTAATTTTTATCTGCTATTCCTAGCTGTTTTCTTAGAGCTTTGCTTTGTATATATCCTAAATGAGTTGTCAAAAACAATGATTTGCTTGATGGTCACAACTGGCTCAGGAACACTTCAAATAGACAGCTCTGCGTGTGCTAATTGGCAGCTACAAGTGCTGAATGCCAGTTCCCATCAATCAGAACACCCCCTCTGAAGAGAGAAACAGAGAGGCTTCAACCACAAGCTACAACAGAAGATGATCCTTGAATGAGGCTTTGTAAGTGCACCTGTATTTACAGAGTGAGAAGTGGGGAAAAGCCATCTAAGGTAAAGGAACAGCAAAAATAAAGGGCAAAATACAGAACAAATGGCAAAGCTGGAAGGGACAGAGCATGAGGTAAGTAGAATTGCATCTAGACCATTAGTGTTCTGGTCAGCAGGCATGGGAAACACAACAAATTCTGAGAGAAGAGGGGCTTGACCAGGTCTCAAACTCTGGTAACTAGGACAACAGCATGAAGGAGAGATTCAAGGGATAAATATGAGGCAACCACGTCAGGAATCTGGGTGAGAGATAATAAGGTCTTTAAGTAGGGCAATGGCTGAAACAGAAAATGCTGAGTGATGAATTATAAAGGGAGAACTGACCCTATTTGACAGTCTGTTAGATGGGGGTGAGGGAGAAATGGGGTTCTAGAAAACATTGGGGGGAGCTTTATAGGAAACTGGAAAAGAAAAACCTGACAACTCCTGATCTTATATATGTCCCTTACCTTAAATACTAATGGCTTAGAAACTTAAAAAAAATAAGAGGAAGAGACAGGAAGATGGGCAAAGGACTGGAGATCAGACTTTGTATGTGAGAGTCCCAAGTTCAAGCCCTGCAAGCAACCCGAAGAATGTGACAGGGAGCAGCCCCAGAAACTACTACATGTGATCCAAAAGCAAAAAAGTAAAGATAAATAAATAAAAGGTGGGAGAAAACAGATATCTAACCTTGAATTATGAAAGTCCTTTCCAAGAAACTATGGAGGCAGAAATCTTAAAGGGAGAGACAAACTGGACACATGAAAAAGTAGTTGAGGGAAGGAGGGAAGGGCGGGGAGAAAAAATAAAACAGTTGAATCTCTATAAGGTAACTTAAAAAGTAAATATGTGGAGGGAAAAAATGCTGAAAATGTAGCTCAGTGGTAGAGTTAATGCCTTGAATGTATAAGGCCTTGGGTTCATC